TTTTCGCGCATGGTTTTAGCTTAGCTCATAGCAAGAACAAAGTATATATATATTCATAATGTGAGATTTTGTCTAAGTGATGTACTATGATGACATCACAATTTGTACAAAATATTGTATTTTCTTTTTTTTTGTCAGGTGGATTTATATGGACTTAGTCTGACATTGGGTGAGCATTTTGTGATGTGGATGACTCAAAATTTTACAAAACTATTATAGTATGCCACATTTGCCATATCTATGCTGTGCAGTTACCAATAGGTACCAAAGCTAAATGATCTGTCTGTGGTCAAGGCGTAGTAAGTGCAAACAGTATAACCTTAAATCTACTATTGCACCCCAAGCAGTAAAAGAAGTCAAGAAGACCAATGTTGTTATAGAGTCATAATGGCCACTAGGTCATCAAAAAACCTGTAAATTGTGGGGAAAACTGTTTCTTGGGTCAACAGGGTTAATGAGTTTGATTAGATCAACTCCTGATGTGTTTGTTTCAAATAGGAAGCTGGTTCCAAACAACAGTAGGAGTCGGTCATGGATGTTTCCTCTCCCCAACACTGTTTAATGTCTTCTTTAAAAGAATTATGACTGATGTCTCAGAACATCATAATAGAGCAGTTAGTATCTGAGGTCCAACTATAGCAAACTTAAGGTTTGGATTCTTGTTTTTTGTTGTTGCTCCCTCCAAGGATATAGGTCCCAGGACAGTCTGTTATCTGAGGGGTGTTCCAAAATAGACATAGAGACAGCTACCCATGTAACGCTGAAGCTGCTGTTGGTGCGTGTGCTAAGCGCATGTAGTGCTGAAGCTGCTGTTAGTGCGTGTGCTAAGCATTGGTGTTGCTAACTGTGGCGGGGCGGGTGATAGATAGTAATGTGCATGTCAATTTTCGTGCAGTTTTGTGTGTGCTTGGACTCGGGTTATGCAGTTTTTTTGGGGTGTGCATTTGGGCGGATGAAGTTATTTGCGATTGTGGGTGGCGTCTATTTGTTTTTGTGTTTTCCTGTAGTTCTTTGTGTTTTTGCAGTCGGGAGGATGAAGTTTTTCCGGTTCTGTGTGGTTTCTATTTGTTTCTGTGTTGTCCTGCTGGGGAGGAGGACCTAGGCAGGATGTAGGTGGGTTGGGTTTAGGGTCAGCAGTTGTCTGGTCGTTCGGGTGGATGTTTTGGAGTCATTTAGAATACAGAACACCTGTTGTCGCCTGTTGACTTTGTCCATTCGGGTATAGAGTGCCATTTGGGGTAATGTCTCGTATAAGACTCCACCAAATACCCGCTGTTATAGAAACACAAGTCCCACATGATTTTTTCGCCTTGCAAACAGACTTTCAGCAGTGGTATTCTCTTCACCAATCACTTCCGGATTCAACCTTAATGTATTAGCACACACCTGTAGTTGCTCCACTCCACAGCTGTAGTCTTTGACATGCCCATCACTACTTGGCAATATTGAATGCTTGTCAACTCTTGCTACCAGTAGTAAAGAAACAGAATGATTTGTCTGTAAGGCAGGTTCGACCCTTCCAGCCATGTTCCTTTCTGTAAAGGTATGTCCAGACGACACGTCGATTTTCAACATCACCATTTGTCCCCTTTTCCATCAGGAATCACAGCATCGCATGATTTTTGTGACAATGTCTGGTTCTCTGCAGAATACCATGATGTTACAGGAAACCGACACTACTCTCTTTGTCAGGCATGGATTCTGCTCATTCCAGGAAATTCATGGCGATGAAGACGAACACACACAAGTCGCTGGAGAGGCGCCTGCCATGGGAATGATGACTGAACACACATTGAACGCGCAAAAAGTGGAGAAATGCCTGCCCTGCTGCAGTTAGCAACGCTTAGCAACACGCAGCAACTAACGATCTCTCTGGGAAAATCCTACCTTATCACAACCTGAAATATTAGACTGTTCTGTGACCTATAACTTAGGGGAAGGGGGGGGGGAGCAAAAAATAAGTACCAGGATTTGCAGATGACATCACTGGGTTGGCTGGGGAAGAAAAAAAGCTAGTCGAGGTTGTAAATCTGCTCAATGAAACATCGACCAATTATTGAATGGAAATAAACACAGAAAAAACAAGAGTGTTGACTAATAATCCAGCTGGCATAAGTTTACCAGTGTATGTAAAAGTCACAAATGAGAACAAGTCAGTCATTTCAGAAATTTAGGATCCATTTTTAATGACTTGGGGTCTAGACCAGAAATCATGTCTAGGATTGCCTAGACAACATCAGTCCCTGCTAAACAGCAAACATTATGATCCCAAAACATTTCATGCAAAACTAATATTCGATTGCTCAGAGCAATAGCTGTTAATACATTTACATTAGGCTGTGAAACATGGACCTTAACCGCTGAACTTAAAAGGAAGATGCAAGCGTCGGAAATGCCATCTTTCATAAAAATTCTTGACGTATCATACAGAGACCACATTACAGACAAAGAGGTTCACCGTATAATTATACAGCACATTGGCAACTATGGACCTCTTTTAACTACTGTGAAAAGGAAGGTCACATTCAGGGTAGGAAGAGGGTGTACCAATGCTGTTTTCACCCTAAGACAAGAGGGTGTACCAATGCTGTTTTCACCCTAAGACAAATTAGCGAAAAGACTATAGAACACAGACACCAAATAAACATCGCTTTTACCGATCAAGTAAAAGCTTCTGACAGAGTGGACAGAGATTTATTATAAAATGTCCTTGAAAACTATGGTATAAATGGAACATTGCTAGACTGTAAGATCTGTTTATAGAGAAAGTGAAAGCGCTGTCAGAACAATCGCTGGCCTCACAGACTGGTTCCCAGTAACATCAGAAGTAAGGCAAGGCTGTGTTCTTTCATCTTAACTTTTTACAATATTCATGGACAATATTATTAAAATAGACATAACACTACAAGATGTCGATAAACAGTAGGACTTAATAAGCAGCTCTTTGTCGACGATCAATGCATAGTAAAAGGAAACAGCTGCAACACCACATAAACCTACTATAAGACAAATTGCTTTAAACATCACATGAAGATTAATATTATTGCAAAAAAAAAAAACAGGTCATGAGAATAGGTGGAGAGCAACAAAACATCAACATAAAGATCAGAGTCTAAAACAAGTGCAAGAATTTTAATACTCGGGAAGCATCTTTACATAAAATAATAACAGAAATAGAAACAAGAAGCCAACAATGTCACTTACTAACTTGCTCCAGTTTGAAAACACCCTGCTATCCTGATAGAGACAAAAACACACATTATAAATACAATATTTATACCAACCTTAGGTTACCAGTGTCAAACTTGGACATGACCCCTCCCCCCCCCCCCCCTAAAAAAAATAAGAAGAAGAAACTTACCACCTCTGAGAGGAAATGTTTGAGAATTAATTGAGAACTAAGAATGAAATGGTTTAGCCATCTATTGAGAATGAAACTAGCAGCAAGAGCATATAACCTGAAAATTGAAACACCAAGAGGCAGGAAAAAACCGAGAGAAGATTGATTAAAGGAGTCACTGACACCTTGAGACTGCATAACATCACAGCATATCAAGTGACCGAGCGCACCCTAGATAGGATGCCGATCATCTAAACTGCGATGCCTAGCAGCATAAACAGATATTGACAAAAGAAAAGAAAGAAAAAGTGAAAAATGTAATGTTATGGAACATGTAATAAGATACACCAGCTTGTCAAAGAACAACACTGCGGGGCTCAGTATAGGGAAAGAGGAGAAAAGGCAGACCAAGAAAGACCTGGTTACAAACCCTGACTGACTGGACAGGCCTCAGGCATGCAACCATGAAGTCCATCACAACTGACTGCTAAAAGTGGAGGGAGTGGATCAGAAAGTCAACAGAAACTGGTGACCCAACGACACACAGTGTTGCGGGATGATGATGTGTTTGTACACTGCATCTGAAAGAGGTGTTTACTTTAGGCTAAGTAGCAAATGTCACTGTATCTCTGTATATCACTTTCTATCTTGTCTTGGTAATCTTAGTTTCAGCTTCATAGCAAATGAGTCACCACGTAGTTGCTCCACTCCTGTGCCAACAAAAAACACACAGAAGGTTCGTCGCAGTCCCTTGGGAAAGATTGACAGACTGCTGTCTCAGCATATGCACTAGCATACACACGCATTAAAAGCATGCGGCAGCCATCAGAAGTGCTAACACAAACAGTTTGACATTAGAAATGCAGTTCATCATCGACGGTAGCAGAAGTCACCAACAGATCAGCAGTTACGCACACGATCAATATTAATCACATAAGGGCACCACCAATATTGCAGCGATAGGCCACACGCCATTTTCTGAATCTATAGTTCACAACACCATGTTGTTCTCAGTCAAGAAACATTCCAAATGAAATCCGCAGCTCACAGGGTCGCGCCATGCACTCAGCTCAGTATCTGGCGCGACAAAACTGTATCCCGAGTCTACAAATGGATCAAAAAATGCAAAGGCCACCGTCTGGCAGAAGCAAAAAATTGGCCTTGATGCGAAACAGTAACCGCACCTGGCGTCCATTTTGACCAGAAGTCTTGTCTTCAACTTTTGTCTCCTGTGGTTTTTTAATTAGATTAAAACTGCTATATTCCAATGGGGGTTTCTGGAGTGTATCCACTGCTGACTATGGGAACATCTCATAGTGAGATCCCATTTCTCCATGGTGCTACTTGCATGCCACCGGCTGAAAGCCATGAGAGCATATGTTCCCAACCAGCCCACTACAGTAATCAAACATTGGTAAAGGCGAGGATTACATTATGAAACCATTTCACTAACCTCTAGGCTCCAGCCGCCATATAATTTTGTGTGTGTATGGGTGTGATTTGTTTTGGAAAGTTTTTCGCTGTGATAAAAATATGTCAATTATCTGTTTTTCTTCCCTCCACGAATATAGGTTTTACTATATCTGCCTGCCATGCTGGAAGAAGTCAAAAGAACTACTGTGGATGTAGTTATTCCACAGCCGCAGCTAGCTCCCTCGCGATGAGCATTATTTTGCGAGTTGGTGCTGTTAAGTCCAGCAGAGTTCACGAGGCACACTATGGCAGTGGCGATGAGGCATCATCATACACCGAGTAAGTTTTTTTTTTTTTTTTTTTTTTTTTTGCTGCTTTCGTAAATTTTTAATCAATTTGATTGGGTTGATAATTTTGGTTTGTGGAAATTGATCCACACCTTGAGGCTAGTTTTATGTTTTGATAGTGGGTGATGTAGTCAACATCCATTGAACTCTTTGAGTCCCAGGGGGTTTAGCATCACAGGCCCAATGAGTAGTCAAGAAAGACATAAAATCACCGCATCTTGCGTTCATTGGGCTTCTAGGTAGTAATCTATGACGCGTTTCTTGGGACTCAAAGAGTTAAAGCTGGTTCGACCTGGGAGCTAATCTAAGTTCATTTATGGAAAAAAAATGAAGTCCCGATTCGCAGGCGAGTGTCTAGTCGCTACACCATGGCAGTATTTTTAATGAGTGGGCCAGTTTGGTTTATGGAAGTCATTACAATATTTGTGAGTTCATTTTTAATTGATTGATCATTTATGTGGAAATTGATACATTTTGGAGTTTATTTGAATGGGTTGATATGAAAGTAGAACACCAAGAGGTAGGAGACATCAACAAGAAAATGACATAAAGGAGTCACTGATACTTTGATGCTATAACCAAACAGCTTACTGGGCAGCCGAGCGTGCCCTAGCCCTAAACCAATCATCTATTGACCTGCAATGCCTAGCAGCATAAAGCAGGGAATGGACAAAAGCAAGATTGTTTTGGTTTATGAAATTAAAAAAAAATACAAATAAATTGGAGTTCTCTTGAACCGTCAACAGGGACACTGTTTCCAGATGTGACACCAGAGTGGTTAAGAGGATTTCAGATTCAACTAAAATATTTTTTTTCAAAATGGGGTTATGTTTTCATAAAAAACCAGAAACTAATCATTTATGTTTCTTCTGTTAACATTTAAACCCTGTTAGCATGAATTCCAGTGACCAACAATTGAGTTTATGTTAAAATAATTTCTGCTAACCAGGCACTCATCAGCAGCGTCATCATCATCATCAATTTACAGTTATGCCATTAAGCATCGGTGAGAGAAATGATCCGGTGTCTGATAGGCAGCAGCAGTGATTGGTGTCATTCTCTGTTGATGTAGAAGCTCTGTCATCAGTCTGTATTCTCCTAGGGTGACTTCTTGCTTTCACATAAGATCTTTTCATTTGTAGTGCCTGCGCAGGTAGTTCTGGTTGCATTTTTTTCTAGATAACCAAACCATTGATCTTCTGCTTCTTAGTGAATTTGCTTCTTAGTGAAACTAACTATTCTTCTGAAGCAAGTTTGTATTAATGAGGTTTTACTGTAATTCATAAAGAGCTTGGTAGAACATTGCTTCTGATGTTCTTGACCTATACTTGGTTGATACAACAGGACATCAGGTGGGTGGTGCTTGACCCAGTCATCACTTAATAGGTGATGTAAACATCCTGCCTCTGTCTTTACCTCTGAAGATATTTCCTGGAACACAGTTTAGTCTTGAGTCAGCCTGGAAACACGAATAAAACTGTAAAAGTCCAACAGGATCTGGATTCAAAATTGGGTTTTGTTGTAGTGATGTTTTATTTATTGTTAACAAGGTACAAGTAACATTTTCCAACCCAGGCACTCCGTGATTCGCCGTTCATTCATGCTTGCTGACCTCTCACATGCACAACTCTCTGTTACATGGGGTGTCAGATTGTATTGTCTTTAAGGCTCTCACCGATGATGATGCCTGCACGATGTGACCACTTTTAATGACCTCAGAAGATCTAGAACTGGCCCTCACTCCTAACCCACAGCCTCAGCCTGCATACCATCGAGAGGCTGCAGCCTATGTCCCGTATTTTCAGAATTGTTAACATCTTTGTCGGTCGTCAACGCTGACAACTGAAGTAAATGCATGTCTTACTTGAATTTCAAGAAGGCTAGAATATACACACTGTTGCCGGCTGCTCAGAACAAGTAAAACACAACCTGTACCTGGCCGCTCACATGACTCGCAATATATACATAACAGAACACAACGTGACTCCCCTATAACTAAGACTAGCACGTGTGAAAGTTTAGCAGGCATAAATGAACGGGCCAGTCATGGTGTTAGTGGGCCATAGAATGTTATTTGAACCTTCAACAACTATATCATCTAGGTAGAAGAGGGACTAATCGTTGGATTTTTTTTTTTTCTTTGGTAGTGCCGATGTGCTGGACATTCCATTGCCTGAACACACATACCAGAGACCCCATCCACCACCCAGCACACTTGCTCACAGCAATGTCGGATATTTTGGCCTTCCTTACCAGGTAACAAATGTTCAATAATTTCTTAGATAATGCCTTTACTTTCTGAGGTATGCTATAATCTTTTTGTATTTTAATATGGTTTGTATGGATATAAATAGGATAGACAGCAGTCAAGCTGATACCAAGAAATAGGTAAGCAAAAGACAGACCAAGACCAAAAAGCTCAAAGAAAGATAGAAAAACAAGCGCACAGTTACAATCAAACATTTAAGCAGGAGTCTTCATCATCATACTTCCTGTTCTATGATCTTATCTATTGTTTTATTACTCTGTTCTTCTTCTTCTTCTGCATTCACCCTTGAAAAAGCAGTTCACATTTTATATTAGTTGTGGTTTGCAGGTAGGCTACAGTGTCTGCAACTTTTGACCCGACACATCTGATTTTAGCAGATCTTTTTTAATCAGCTTTTTTCCCTCCAAAATACTTGTTAACAATTTATAGGTCAGGTATTATCCCTCCCCCAGCTTGCACACATCTTTAAATAACAGTAGGGGCAGAACACTTGTGTGTATCGATAATTATTGAATTATAATTCACCTTAGAGAATAAAGCAAGCAAATATTTTCACACACACTTAAAGAAGGTTTTGACAGTAAGAAACTTGAAATTAGATCAGTGTGTTTTAAATGTTAGCATCTGTGAGTAATGGGCTGTGAATACAGTTTCATAATTTTAGCATACTAGGTTTGATTTAACTGGGGGAGATTGGCAGCATGCCACTTTTCGTTGGTTTTGGCAGAGGTATGAGCATGAACCCATTCATAAGCAGCGGCAAACTATTGGACCTTAAATGTGCCTGTTTAAAAAAACACATACAACTAATATTTTAGAAGGAATATTAAAAATAAGAAGTACATGCTAGACGTCTTATAACTAATAAATACCTTTTTTTTCATTGCTTTATTAGTTAATCTGTTATCATCCCATATACAGGATCACAACTATGGCATGCCTCCACCACCATCACCACCTCGACCAGTCTCACCACGACCATCGTCTCCACTGCAAGTCAACGGGGTTGTGCAAATGGAAGAGGAGGTCAAGACAACACCATTTGTGTCGGTTGTGGAAGAGGTTGTGGAAGACAGCATCACCAGATGCATCTGTGGTTATCTTCACGATGATGGCTATATGATTTGTTGTGATAGATGCAGGTGTGTATCCTTTTGTTTGCACAGTAGCTCTGTGTGGAAAACAAGTTTAAAATTTGCCAGGTTTTTTTATTTTTTTTTTATTTTGAAGATAGGACAGTAGTTAGGGATTAGGGTGCTGATTATTGATAGACATGGTTTTTCAATACTTTTGTAATAAAATTGTATTTTTCTGTAATCCATGTCATGGAGTGTTGGTAAAATGTTTGTCCACATCCTTCTGTCCTGAGTACTGCCAAAAGCATTTCTTATATATTTCTCCTTGCCACTACGCCACATTAGCTCTTTCGCTCTGAAAAAGCCACACATTCCATCTGTGGCCTATCCCTGTAAATGCTGCTCCACGGGCACGGCTCCAGTGACTTGTCTCCAAGAAAGTAATTGATGGTGGTGGTTCTGTTTGCATCTGTGCAGTATTTAAGTGACCCTGGATATGATTATATTTTACTAAATATAGCATCATGGTGGGGGTGGCTGTGTGGGCGTGAAAAATACAATAAGTATGTCACTGTAGACATTTTTTAGGCTCATGGGAGTGAAATCCATTTAATTATCCACTTCTTTATCTTTATTGGTTACTTCCCCTTTATTTACATCTGATCAAAAATGTGGAAAATTTAAATCGTTAAAAGTTTCATTATTTGTTAATGGCCTGTGTCAAAAAGGTTGAATTTTTAAGGGTTTTATTTTGTTTGGAAATTCCTGGGACGATAAGTTTTTTTCTCCCAAGATTTGCTAGGGCAAAAGGGTTAACATGTCTCTTATTGGTCTCCACTTTCTTTTCTTCATCTTTAACTTTTCTGTTATCATTACATGCTCTAGTTTTTTTCTTTTTCTTTTTATGATGTGCTCACATATTGTCTTTGTATGATGTATGTAACCAGTTCTTCTGAGTTAATTTCTTTCAAAGCATTTGTTCTTACCCCCAGCTATGCACCGCTTTGCTGGACAAACATTTGTCAGCATAAACAGGAAGCATTTTCTTTGCAGGCAGCCTTTTTTTTGGCCCCCCCCCCCCCCCCAAATAAATATACACACCGCACAACAGCAGGTTGTTCTTTGAGGGTACACTCTGTAAGTACAATTGCTATTTTTTTTTCTATGTTGCGAATGCACATGCAACACCTATCACCACCTAATGAACGGAGACATAAAGTTCCATGTTACTGACACCTTTATAAAGCATCAACTACATTTTCCTGCTATCCCATTACCATTTGTGACTTACTTATTGACTTCCCCTCATATAATTCTCCCTCTCTTGGTTGAACACTCTGTCAGACTGCTGTTCATCTATATCTTGATGTTGTCCTCCTTGTATTATTATTTACCTCATTATATGTTGCCCTCAACCTTTCCCTCCATTATGTGTTATGTCCCCCTAATGGGGCCAGTTATTTCAATATTTTTTTTTTTGGGCTTTCAATTTCTGTTAGTAAGTCTTTATTTGCAGTCTCTCAAGAACCGGCATATTTGTTTTTCTTTCCATGGAATACAACCTATTATTCTGTACGTCTACATTTTGAGAGAGACAGTTGAATTTTCTAGTTGCCATGTGTGTTATATACAGTCTGCCTAATTTGTCGGTGGCAGGACTTGCTTGACTTAATGCTGTATGTTTGTTTGGTTATTGTCTAGTGTGTGGCAGCACATTGACTGCATGGGAGTTGATCGCAACAACATTCCAGAGAGCTACTTCTGTGAACTGTGTCAGCCCAGACAATTGGATGCATTGAAGGCGAAAATGCTGCAGAAGAGAAAGAGGGAAGAGTTGGCTGGTAAGGGATAATGCACTTATTATTTCAGTTCACTTTAATCTTACCCCAGTATGTTAAATAAACCTTGATTACCTTGGTTAGGGTGTATTTGAGATATGGTAAATGGTTTGTATTTTTAGTGGTTTGATGGTTCAGGTGATTATTCATATTCTGATTTCATTCAAGGATAATCATTTTGTGCCCATTTCACAGTCTGTCTGCATTCTTTGCATCTTTCTGCAAACACATCCGACTTCAGTCATTTGTTGTCCAGTCAGCCTTCTGATTTAATTTCACAGCCTCATTGTTGTATCTTTGTTACCTGGTCAGAATTTGCAAGCTCACTCAGCATCATCATTCCCTGTGTGGGTTTCGGAGCTCCAATATGGGGAAAACAAGAATAGACCCACTGCCTCCCCAAGCATGTTGTAAGAGTCAACTAATTGGGAGCTTCCTTTGAAGTTAAGAGTACATCTGCCTGAGAGGCAAGGAACCAACAATTTGTAAAATAGATGTGCACATAACACCCAGGTTCTGGAGCAAGATTAGAGTCCAGAGGTGGATGAACAACCAGAACTTTTCCCCAGAGTTTACAGCTGGTGAACACGATGAAGAAAAGATCATCATCATGAAGTGCCTTGCTGACTGGTGTGTGTGATCTTCAACATTGTGTATTACTCCATGCCATGACAAAAGTCAAGAATCTTCTGGCGTTGTCTGTTTTTGTCTCTCTGTCCACAGATCATTCCAGTTGTCACAGCATTTTACAGTTTCCCTCTTCTCGTAACATGATCAGAGGTGCTGACTGTCTCTTTCTGATGTCTATTCTAGGAGCCAGTGCTGTTTCCAAAATGTCTGGGTTCCTCTTTTTGAAAAGCTACGGAATTTTAAGGATTATTCTGTAAAACCACATAGCCAATTTCTCAAGAAATTTTTTGGCTTGTTAATCATCATGCATTAATTGATATATATTTATATAATATTCCTTTCTTACCAACCTGTTGCCAAACCCAGTTGTTATATTATTTCCTCCTCATCGTGGTGTTTTTATTTTATCCCCTTCAGAACCCAAATTTCAGGTAGTTAAAGTAAGAACTTCTTATGATATAACGGGTTAAATTAACAGCCATGTGAACCTGCAAATGTCAGGTAGTTAAAGTAAGAACTTCTTATGATATAACGGGTTAAATTAACAGCTCTGAATTTTTTGTTTTAGGGCTAAAAATATGTTAAAGTAAAAAAAAAATTTCACGCCTTCAGGCGTATGGGACCAAAATGGGCTAGACCAGTAGTTTGTAGACCAATCATTATTTGGTGGATCATAGGGGCCAGCACCGTGCCTGCCACCTTTGCTTCCCAGAACTGCACCTGGCACCCACTCATGGCTGGGTCAACCTGGGAGCCAAGGTCATTCATGTTCTAAACATTTAGGGGTGGCTTATACCCAAGAAAATCATGTATGGGTTCCAGGGCCCCATTATGAGCAAAGCAGGAAGAGACACTGCCTCCCTAACATTTAGGGGTTTCTTTTGAAGTCAGAGTACATGTGCCTGAGAGGCAAAGAGCCAACAGTCTGCATACAAATAAGCCAGATCTGTAAAACAGATGTGCATGCAGAACTCAGGTTCTTGAGCAAGACTTTATTCCAGAGGTTGACAACAACCAGAACTTTCCACCGTATTTACAACCAGTGAACACACAGAAAAAGATGCACAGAAAAATACAGGACATTCCTGGCCAGTTTTCTTAGATAAAAGTTGTTGGCGTCACTGAAGATATATGTTCTTGTCTTCACTGAAGATATATGTTCTTTGTCTGTGAGATTTTATAATCACCCTGAATAATTTTTGTTTTTAAAATTTGTCAATAATAATGTTGTGGGAAACTGCTTGTAATCGAACCCTTAGGGTATTTGATAAACAGAGAGTCGCTGCTATAGGGGTTAATGTGTTTGCCTGATAAGACAGTGGTCCACGGTCAGTCCCAGCAATCGCTGTTTGGGTTGTGGAGCCACATTTTAAGGGGTTTAAAAAAAAGAGTAGACCCACTGCTCCCCCAACCCACCTACGTTTCCCAAAAGCATGTTGTAAAAGTGGACTAAATAATAGGTGTGTTTCCTTCGAAGTGGGAGTGCGTCTGCCTAAGAGCTGAGGAAACAGCACTCTCTGCAGACCAGTAAGAGGGATCTGTAAAATGGATGGAACAAGACCAAAGCCCAGAAGTGGAAAAACAAGCAGAACTTTCTCCAGAGTTTACTGCCAGCAAATGCTAAAAAGAAGTCCCAAGAAATGGCATGAATTTTGCTGACCAGTGGGCTCTGGTGTTGATCCAGTCTTATAAAAATAGATACCAGATAATTTTCATGATTTTCTGCAGTTTGTCTGAAAAAGAAATGTAACTGGTCACCTCACCTCATATATCATAGCCTAGAATGAATAAAAGCCTACCACTTCACATGCATGCTAACAACATTGGCTGCTATGAAAACTCCCCATACCTTCTGAATACTATAATTTATAAAATGTAAGTAAAGTAAAAATCCCTTTTCACGCCTTTAGGTGTATCGGGCATAAGGAAAAAGCGCCCATATTTTTACAGACCATCAGAACTCGGTGGGTAATGTTGTCAGCATTACGCCGGCCGTCTTTACTTTCCCAGGACAGCCCAAACTGGTACCCATTTTAGGCTGGGTCGACCTGCGACGCCCCATACCGTGATAAAATCCACGCAGCCCGCAGTGGGTTTCAATCTTGGTACGTTGGTATTACGAATCGGACTCGCAACACCTAAGCCATACTGGGGGGAAAAAAGCAAAAATATGACATTGTTTCTGAAAGTTTCAGTAAATGCAGTTCATAATGAATAGTCACTCTTCTTTGTGGTAACAATATGTTTTGTTTGTTCTTGCAGCACGGAATGTTTTGTCAGATTCCAGTGCCACTGACACAGATCCAGAAGAAGCTGCTAATGCACTTGCTGCCATGGGAAAGAAGCTGCCGACTTGCAAGAGAAAGAATCTGAAACATAAGCGTAGCCCAAAAGTTAAAGACAGACAATCACCACTTAAACTTAAAATAGGGAAAGGCATCACACACAAGAAAGTTAAAAAAGCAGGCAAAAAAGAGAAAGAAAATATCAAAGTTTCTAAGCCAAGAAAGGTAATATTTCCATTTCCATTTCTATCATTGTTCTTAGCTGCACGTGGACCTAGAAACGTATTCTCTTCTGTTATTTCCTACCCTCCCGTTGAAGTCACCCATTACATATAGTATGCTGCTTCCCTCAACTTTCTCTATCTCATCAGACAGATCGTCAAAGAATTCATCTTTCTGCTCTTCTGTATAATTATCATTGCATGGTGCATATAACCGTATATATGTTTCAGCTTGTTCTCCTCTTTTAATTTTCAAAGTAATAATTCTATCTGAGTGATAATGTATGTCTAATATGTAGTTAGATATGTCCGGATGCATCAGGAAACCCACTCCATTCTTCGATGTTCCTCCTCCTGCATATGTTAATAAGTAGCCGCTGTGTATTTTCTTGTTACTGTTTCCCTTGCGTCTTATGTCAGCTAGCCTCATTAACTTGATTTTCCTTTTTTCCATCATTTCAATAATATCTTCTGTTTTGTTTCCCAGTCCAGCGGTGTTAAGTGTTGCAATCTTGTATTTCACTTTTCTGTATTGATTGTGTTAACATGTCATAATAAAAATAATACATCCCTGCTGCGGCAACATTTTTTTTGTAACTAACTATTCTTCTTAACCCTACCAGACCTGAGGCCCTGAACCTAACTGTCCCTATAACCTAAGCTCCTGGGCATTACCGCGAAAAAACCAACATGATATACAAAAATATTAGTTACATGCAAACGAGTGGCTAGAATATGATGAAACTTGAGGACATTGAAGAAAATAGGCTTTCCTTTTATCTAGCGCCAATATTCCACTTTTGTGTGCGAATCCACTCATCAGGATCAACTTTGTTTCACAAAGTGAACACCAGATGTTGCCATTTGAGGGACACACCCCCTTCTCCTACTATCAATCTATTTCAAGATTTATAATTTTCAAGAGGTGAAAGATGTCTGTTTTTAGGATTATTTTTCAGGATTTTATTCTTAATCCTAGTAGACCTAAGGCCCTGAACTAACTGTCCCCTATGCCTGATATAGAACAATGTTAGTTACATGCAGACAAGTGGTTAGAATAAGATGGAACTTGGAGACATTGTAGAAAATAGGTCTACCGAAAATTAGGTACAGCGGTATAGTGGCAGATGAGGAAATTACTGAAAAATCAGTACAGCGGTCTGTCGGGGTTAAACAAAAAAATGGATCCAGAAATGACCTCACTGCACTTGAGTTATTCCCACATGTTCTTTGTCCCCTTCGAGACTAGCCAACAATGACTTCCCATACTGACAGTGCCAGTTGCAACCTGATTTAAGTCCACCTCTTTTACTCTGCATGTTGAAAACCTTCCAGACCATCTGTTTACGCCCCGCTGAATTAGTCTTTTGAGGTTTTGGATACTCTGTCCGTTGCACTGTCCACTTAATCCGAGAGAGCCTTCACCTTGTCGATGGTAGAAAGTAGCAGTAAGCTCGCTCACTGCCCAGCGGTAGCAGCAGAGCATCCTGGGGAGAAAATCTTTAGGTTTCTGATCTGAGTTTTTGATTTTTAAGGTAGTCAGATAGTTAAGACTTGTGGTTTGATCACACTGTAAGCCACATTACTGGGGATAACAAGAAGATGTTGACCAGGCACAGTACTGAGGATAACAGGAAGATGTTGACCAGGCACAGTACTGGGGATAACAGGAAGATGTTGACCAGGCACAATACTGGGGATAACAGGAAGATGTTGACCAGGCACAGTACTGGGGATAACAGGAAGATGTTGACCAGGTACAGTACGGGGGATAACATGAAGATGTTGACCAGGCACAGTACTGGGGATAACAGGAAGATGTTGACCAGGCACAGTACTGGGGATAACAGGAAGATGTTGGCCAGGCACAGTACTGGGGATAACAGGAAGATGTTGACCAGGCACAGTACGGGGGATAACATGAAGATGTTGACCAGGCACAGTACTGGGGATAACAGGAAGATGTTGACCAGGCACAGTACTGGGGATAACAGGAAGATGTTGACCAGACACAGTACTGAGGATAACAGGAAGATGTTGACCAGGCACAGTACTGAGGATAACAGGAAGATGTTGACCAGGCACAGTACTGGGGATAACAGGAAGATGTTGACCAGGCACAGTACTGAGGATAACAGGAAGATGTTGACCAGGCACAGTACTGAGGATAACAGGAAGATGTTGACCAGGCACAGTACGGGGGAATAACAGGAAGATGTTGACCAGGCACAGTACTGGGGATAACAGGAAGATGTTGACCAGGCACAGTACGGGGGATAACAGGAAAATGTTGACCAGGCACAGTACTGGGGATAACAGGAAGATGTTGACCAGGCACAGTACTGGGGATAACAGGAAGATGTTGGCCAGGTAAAGTACGGGGGATAACAGGAAGATGTTGGCCAGGCACAGTACGGGGGATAACAGGAAGATGTTGACAAAGGACTATTTAAAATATGAAAAATTTAGACATGAAATTATGCAATTGTTTCTCATTTCACTGCCTGTTTTATGATTCTTTGCTTCATAGAATTTACCTAATACATTGCTGTCATTTTTTTTAATACATAACTATTTGATACAAGCAGTCATCAAAGTTTTTCTGTGATCACTTCCCCTTTCTTGATTTCATGTAATTTAATATTTATGAATTTTAATGGATATTTGAGTTTGAACGCCGCATGAACTTTAATTTATTGTCTTTATTTCTCCGTGAAAGCTAAAATACATGAATACATGATGAATAATATTACGTATATTGATTACTCACTTTTTACCAACTTTGCGCAGAAAGAGGACAGAAAAATTACATCAGCTAAGATTAGATTCCTGAAAAGAACATTCAATATATCAAGGGAAGAGACGATAAGAAATGATAAAATCAGAAAGAAAATGGAGTCAACAGTTAGCAGACATCAGCCCTGGTAGAGTTTCCGGACAACGAGACAGAGGCTGACCTCCGCGATGGTGAATACAGGACATTGAAGATGCATTGGCTGTGAAAGCACATGGGGCTGGAGAATTGGCTACAGAAAGAGGGACTTTTGGGCATACCATGGAGAGAACAATGTTCTCTAAAGCACCTGCTGATTGATAATCAGGCGAGAGGCTGACCATGTAAACAGTGGACACAACCCACAGACAGACAATCTCCTGGTGTCTGTATGTCAACAAGATTCCAACACAAATGAGATTAGATAATTGATTATACAAGAAAACTGATGCCATGTCAGGAAAAAAACATAACCAGGTGCTCGATTTTTTAAAACTGTTTCATTGTTGTTTTTGAAGATTTATGTTTCCGCCTTCTTTGAACACATACTTTTATTGTTTTCTTCCTCAGATATTTAAGTCAGGGCCACAGAGGCTGAAGCAAGGAACAAGTAAAAATAGGCCATTTCTAACCATGGAACAACTTAGTGGGGATCCATGGAATAGTAATTTGAGGTATGTGAACAGATGATAACCTCAGATGGAAAGTGTGTTGAAGAATTTAAATGTAGAACATTTCAAGCAAGAGCAGCTGTTCACAAAATACAGAATATTCTATGCAGTCTTTTCTTTTTCAGTGGTTTTATAGACGAATGATGAGAATACCCTGGACTGATCAAAAGAGCAATGAAAATTTCATGAAAGAAACTAATTCATGGAGAGAACTGATTGAAACCACATAGGGCAGAAGGTTGTGGATGGACATGACTCCAGCATCACATGGTGTGAGGTGTAGGAAGAAGAGCTCAAGCAGGCGGGTCTGGTGGGTTTTGGTCGTGATACTCAGATAGTTTGAATTTTTAAGACTGGTTAAGTTTTGCAGCTGCTGAATTATAGCATTGCTCTCAATTGTTATTCCTATATCATGTACAAGTAAAAACTAATGGACTTTTCATACCAGTGGCACATCAGGCATGCAGTGCTGCATCAGTATTTTGTATCATTCAACAGTCAACTTGTGGTTTGGTCAGCACCGCTCCAGCCACCTTTACTTCCACTTCCCAGAACATTATCCTGGTACCTATTTTAGACTGGATAGAGTGAAGCATTCAGAATCATGACTTTGTCATTATTATGGTCTGTGCTGATAATTATGGGTAGTCATTGTTCACCATCTTTCATCACTTGATGTCAGCTACCACATGAGATAAAACATCATTCCCAAAATGAACCACATTCGTAACATTGTCACGTTCGCAACATCATCACTATCCTAACCCAGCACTTCATGCAAACCAACGTGTGGGATTTAATCTTCAGTAAATTTGTGGTTTATGAAATGGATAGGTGTGGTGAGAAGTCAAGGCAGCCAGTCATGTTGCAACTGACCACACTGTCCTTGTAAGACGGACATCATTAATAAGATGTCACAACTATTTGGGTATTGCGTGCTTGGGTTTAAAAGGAATTTAGCTGTCCTCTGGTATCAAACGTGTTAATTGCATACAATATACCTGCACCTAGTTACCACGACATACTTTTGAAAAAAAAATATCTACTCATAGTGGCTATTTATTTATTTTTCAAATACATTCAGAAGCAGGTAGCTGAAGAACGTCTTGATTGATCTTTTATAACAAAGGGACTTTTCCCCAGGCAACTGCAGCATTCAGGGAACTGAAAGATCAGAAAACTAGGAGCAATACACAACAGCCAGATGCAGGATGCATTTATTGAAAAATAAAAAACGGATTAAGGCAGCCATTAGAACCCATTGGAACACTTCCTATCCGGGACACAGTCCTGAAGACCAGCCAGCCTCTCCACAGTGGATTGGGTACTGGACACAACTGACATGGCAGCTGTATGTACAGGACATTTCCAGTCTGGGAACTTTGAACTTTGTACATGTAGGCAGATATCACAGAATACTGAACATGTGCTGCAGACTGCCTGTGTAAATGCAACAAAGATATCAATTGGCTTTTTAATGGCCATCAATCTGTATGGATCAGTGGAGGACATGAGTCGCAGCACAGCCTGCATAAGGCACCGTGGCCTTCTCTCCTGAGACATGCATCACATCACAGCCTACATAAGGCACCGTGGCCTTCTCTCCTGAGACATGCATCACATCACAGCCTACATAAGGCACTGTGGCCTTCTCTCCTGAGACATGCATCACATCACAGCCTACATAAGACACTGTGGCCTTCTCTCCTGACAGTTACAGGCATGGAGAAAACATTTTTTTTTTTTGGACAACATAAAATGCCGTAATTTCCTTTTTTAGTGCAACAAGAATGTATGTTGATGTTTATCTCATTGTTTCAGCCCCTGGGTGGACAGTTATGAAGTTGCACATGAGAATCAGTACAGTGCTGCTGTTAGAGAACTGTCATCCAACTCTCACCTCATTGGGCAGTCAGTAAGTCAACCTTGGGCTGTTTCTTGTACATCTTTATGTTGCCACAATCTGTTGGATTCCTAACTTTCTTCCTCACTATCTATCTTCTACACTTCTGATTTTTATTAAAAAGTGTGCCTCCACTCTCCCCTGCCTTGGGAGTTGCCCCTTTTAGGTACCAGTTATTTCTGCACTAGATTCAGATTAAAATACAGAATTGTCCTGTGTATGTACATGTTTACATGTTATTTCTACTAGATCACACTTATAAACATGCTCTGTATCTGTACCAGTCACGTCTGTCCTAGATTCCAGTTATAGTACACACTTGCCCTGTATATGTGCCTTATACTTGTTTGTACTGCATGATTTACCTGTGTAAGGTAAATGTAGTTATGAATGAATTATTTCTAGCTAATTGAGGACTGTAATTCATATAGCTAAGAAATAATCACGTAAATAAGGTAAAGGGTGAATGGGGCATGACAGAAAGTTCTTTGAAGAAAGTTTACAAAAAAATAATAATGATAAAGAACCCTTTTGGTATTTATTGTTAGCACATTTTGGGCTCTGTAGTGACCTGACATTGAAATGTGTAGATAAATTCCATTGATTCTCTGTGTGCCTGCACAGTGTTTAATAGGCCAGAATATGAATATAGTAAGTAACTAATGGGGACGGGGCGGAGGAGGTGCCGTATGACCCTAATGGCTTACTTAAACACACTACAGTAAAGGACCCGTTTCCACACCTTCAGATGTATTGGGCATTTAGGGCTAGACCCATATTTTATAGTCCAATCCTGTCTAGGTGGGTGATGTGGTTGTCCTTACTTGCTAAGACTACCTGGGACCTACTCAAGGTGCTTACTACAGTATTGTGGGAATTATTTAGAGGAGCAGTAAAGCCAATCAAGTTTTAGGCCAGATAGCCCCAATTTTGAAATTCAAGCATGTGAATATGAAGACTACACTGTTCAACACAGTATTCTTACCAACGCTATGCTGTCAATGTCAAACATGGACACTTTTCAAAAGACAAGGAAAATAGTCACCACAGAAAGTAAATGTTTACATACTATGCTGGGTGTGACGAAGAAGGATCGACTTAGAAACTGTGATATCTGGAGGAAAGTTGGCACCAATACTGAACTTTATAGGTAGACAACAAATCAAATGGTTTGACCATGTAACAAGATTGGCATCAGACAGGGCACCACAGAGAGCAATGTTATACAGATACAGTGGTAACAGAGCTAGGAGTCGACCGCACAGAAATATCAGAGACGCTGAAAAGTACTTTATATGAAACGAATAGAAGAGACCGTTGCAGAAATCCCTTCTTGCCCTGACTCCTAGCAGTATTCCAGGAGTAGAGAAAAGAAGAAGAAGATTCAGAGAAGCAAGTCTTTGAAATGAAAGTAGACTGAATGAATTAACGGTTTTATTATTTGTATAAGGCAGCTAGCTTTATTTGATTTGTTCACTAGCAAAGATGAATGAGAATGGTCTAACTTATAGCAGACAAGATGATGTGAGAATGGTCTAACTGATAGCAGACAAGATGATGTGAGAATGGTCTAACAGATAGCAGACAAGATGATGTGAGAATGGTCTAACAGATAGCAGACAAGATGATGTAAGAATGGTCTAACAGATAGCAGACAAGATGATGTGAGAATGGTCTAACTGATAGCAGGCAAGATGATGTGAGAATGGTCTAACTGATAGCAGACAAGCTGATGTGAGAATATTCTGATAGCAGACAAGATGATGTGAGAATATTCTAACTAATAGCAGATAAGATGATGTGAGAATGGTCTAACTGATAGCAGACAAGATGATGTAAGAATGGTCTAACTGATAGCAGACAAGATGATGTGAGAATGGTCTGACTGATAGCAGACAAGATGATGTGAGAATGGTATAACTGATAGCAGACAAGATGATGTGAGAATGGTCTAACTAATAGCAGACAAGATGATGTGAGAATGGTCTAACTGATAGCAGACAAGATGATGTGAGAATGGTATAACTGATAGCAGACAAGATGATGTGAGAATGGTCTAACTGATAGCAGACATGATGATGTGAGAATGGTCTAACTGATAGTAGACAAGATGAAACCAGTATGGGGAGAAAGAGACTAAATAATGTATAGTTGAGGCAAAAAAACTGGCCCATATTTTTTACTTAACATGGGGCCTTTGCTGTCATGTTGTCATGTCTGCTTTTCTTTATCAAGATAACTACCTGTGCAGCATTATAATTCAGTTGGTTATTTGTGATTCTGGAAGTCTGGTTACCTAGTAGGTTTGTGTAACATGTGACTGACAAATTTAATACTGTTTTATTTCAGTTAGATACACCATCCATCATCATGGATCAGCTTCTGGCTCAGGTTGCTTGTGTGGCTGACGTGAAGAAGAACAGAAAAGTAAGTATTCACATGTTGGTAGTATTTGAGAATTGTCAGTAGAAAGAAAAGTAGGTATCTAATGTTCATACCCCCCCCCCCCCCCCAAAAAAATTGTCAGTAAAAAAAAAAAATAGAAACATAGGTATTTGCACAAATATATTTCAAAGTTATCAGTAAAAAAAAAATATAATAGAAGAGTAAGAATTTACATATTTATTTGACTCCATAACGGTCAGTAGAAAAATATGAAAGTAGGTATTGATACATTTATAGTATTTCCTGCGAATAATCAGCCTTCCCAGGAGTGTCACTTTCATTCTGGTTGAACATTTGGACAGGATAATCTGGAATCTACCATCAGTTTCATTTTGAATACTTTGAATAGTTAAATTAAATAGCAACAACATTTGCTTGGAAAAGGCTGATGCAAGTAAACATTATTTACAGTTATAAGAAAGACACACAGTTGATGTAATGAGTTATGGGGTGCTGTAGAACATCAGGACGCCTGAAAAGTTCAACGATAGAAGAAATAGAACTGTTCATGACAATTTGAGACAGTGTTATGAGGAATGTCATCACTGTGCATTTTTCAGAACACGGAGAACAATGAAACAAATGAAACGGTTTGACTAATTAATTCGGCAGCCAACAGTCAGTGAGTATACCACAATGAGAAATAATGTATAGGCCAAATGAGAAGAAAGAGAGGCTTGCCATGCAGACAGTTACAGTTAACACATGCAGACAGTAGTCAGAGGAAATAACAAAGTCCTTGAAAACATGAACGGGCGCTCTGCTGCTGTCTGTTCTATACTTTAGCTCTAAGGTACCAGAGGACCAAGACGTTAAAGGAGCAAGTTCTGTGAATGCCCTATGTGGCTTCCAGAAGCCCATTGTGTGTGTGTGTGTGGGGAGGGGGGGGGGAGAATAAACCCACTGTCTCCCTAACATGAGGTGACTAATTAGGGGTTTCCTTTGAAGTTGGAGTGCATCTGCCTAAGAAGCAGGCAAGGAACCAACAGTCTGCATACAGATAAGCCAGATTTGTAAAACAGATGTGCTGCATGCAAAGCTCAATTTTTGGATCGAGACTAAAGCCCAGAAGTGGATACACAACCATATCTTTCCGCTGGAGTTTACTGCCAGTTGATGCCAAGAAGAAATTTTATGGATACACAAGAAACACCTATGCCTTCTGTGATGACACATGATGGTGATGTTTATTGTTAATGTTAGAGAGCCATGCTCTAGCAAGGATTCTTTCATTGATGTTTTCTTTGACTATCTGATCACAGGGCTTGAGAGCTGTCCAAGAGATTCCTGCAGGCCAGGCAATTATTGAGTACAAGGGCAGAGTTGTGTTGCGTCATGACTATGACAAGGAGCATGCTTTCGTTAACTCTTTCAAAAAGTAGGACATGTTGAGATTTGTTACTTGTTCTTTTTGGCCTGTTGTTGACACACAAAAATGATGAATAAGCTGTTTCGAGACAATTTTACTTTTAATTTGTTATAAACAAATTTTTACTTACATATAATATATTTGTATCCAGATGAAAGTTGAAAGGAGTAAATTAATTGCACCGGGTATTATTCCATAAAGCTAGATGCAGTCGTCCCCTTGTGGGATGCAATTTTTTTGTTATTTGAAGCCCCACCCTGGCTTTTCCTGGGGACCCTGAATATAGCCGGACCATAAATAAATGGCCATAATGGCTGAAAGGGGTTTCTGGGCCTCTCCACGGGTGATCCTCATCCATATGGTGGCACTTTGTGTCACCTGGTGTTTTTCGCTTGTGTGATGTCCTGGTGGGGTACAACAAGAGAGAGGGAGAGAGAGACATGTAGCTAGATCTCTTTCTTTAAATTACTAGCTGCCTACAACAAAGCACAAAGGCCTAGCTACAGCATCTCATAACAAAACATGAAATGCCTATCTACAGCATCTCACAACAAAGCACGAAAGGCCTATCTACAGCATCTCACAACAAAGCACCAGAGGCCTAGCTACAGCGTCTCACAACAAAGCAGGAAATGCCTAGCTACAACGTCTCACAACAAAACACGAAATGCCTAGCTACAGCGTCTCACAACAAAACACAAAATGCCTATCTACAGCGTCTCACAACAAAACATGAAATGCCTATCTACAGCGTCTCACAACAAAACATGAAATGCCTATCTACAGCGTCTCACAACAAAACAGGAAATGCCTATCTACAGCCTCTCACAACAAAACACAAAATGCGTAGCTTTAATGATGATACCCAGGGACCTCCGTGAAAACCACTCTTGAACCGAAAGATGCATCTGTGAAATGAACCCAAGACCTTTAGAGGAGTGGTTAATGAGCTTGCCGGCCAAGACAGTAGTCCGTGTTTAATCCCCAGCAAAAGGAGATGAATGAATGGCATTAGTTTTCATTCTGGAGGAGCCACAGACCAAGTGGTGCTGCACTCTTATATGAGAGACCTACGTTTGATCCACGGTCAAGGATGTTTTCTTTGCTTTAGGGGACACAAATCAAAATGGTAAACTGCTAAGTTTATGGCTTGGGAAAAAGGTCCTTAACTTTTTTTTTTGGTCTGGCTGCAGGGTTTGGGTGTCTGGAAGACATCAAGAGCCTCTTTTGGCAGTGGTGAAACGTCACAAGCTAGCTTAGTTTGGGCACGTGGTGAGGCATGATTTGTGGGTTTTTGTGTGCTAGTGCTTCTATCAATACACCTCCATGACCCTAACAGGTCAAGGGTTATGTTTGTAGGGTTTGGGTTGAAAAGTGCACCAGTGGGTTCTCAGTTCAGGTAAGGCATTGTGTAGAGAGCAAATTAGTGTTCATGTCTCTATTCTCCCCCCACCCCCCTCCCCCCCTCCCGGAGTACAACCGTTTGCTTTTTACTTTAATTGTTGTGTTGTCTGTATCATCATCTATATTCTGTTTGATGTTTATCATCGATCTGTATTCTGTTTTGCTTATTGCAACCTTTGCTTTTTTTTTTTAAACTCAAAACTTAAGTGTTAATGTTTGTTTTATGTCTATATCATAATATGTATTTCGTTTGCTGTATATCATCATGTGTATTCTCTTTGTGTATTTTACAGATTACAACCGTTTGTTCTCTTTTATTCAAAACTTGATGTTGATCTTTGTGTTGATGCTCGAATGTACGGCAATGATGCCAGATTTGTCAGAAGGTCGTGCAGTCCAAATTCAGAGGTAGGTTAGAGTAAATATTGTGTGTTGAACTCATTTTGTGCGTTAATATGTGTCATTGAGGACAAAACAGTTATTGAATGATATTTGTTCCCATTTGGTATAGATAGTGCACCATACTGTTAGTAATCCTTACACCTACAAAGTTTGTTCTTCTATATAAAACCCCACTTGGTTGAGTTTTTTTTTCTTCTTCTCTTTGCTTTTTATTGATTTCCATCTATGTTGCGATATCTGTGCCTTCCAGCCTAGCACATCCAATTTCAGCAAATTTAATTACTTATGATTTATGAGTTTCTTGTTACAGAGAGGTTTATTCTGTTCACATGACATTTCTTATTGCTTCATTTGATTTAGCTGTATTTGTGATGCTGTTCTTTTCCACTAGTTCCCCCACTTTTCTTTTCTTTTTTTAAAAAATTCATTGCAAGTACTGTATTTTCCTTCTTTTCTTTTACTACGCCATACAACACGGTCTGTGGCATTTTTTGTTTCCCTGTTTAACTCATTACCGGCATCATTCATGTACCATTTGCACACATCATATATATTAATATATCTGTGTGTGCTTGCGTGTGAGAGTGAGTAAGTCAGTTAGTTAGTGGACAGATTATCTTCATTGCACGTCGAACCACAGTCCATAAGTGCTTGGATCCCCTCCTCAGTAAATCCCGCAGCGTGTAGCGGCTAACGACACCAGTTCTGTGTTGGTTTATTATTCTTGTTTGGCTATCCGAGTAGTATTCTTGTTTGGCGACACCCCGTTTAACATGTTGTTCTTGCAGTCTGTTCGTGGCTGCAGATTAACAGTTCTTAATAGGTTCACGCAAACGTCTTAACTCTCTTAGAGCATTCAGTATATCAGCCTGGTCCATGGATTGTCCGGCTTTCACAGTAGCCTTACCTGCAAGCCTATCAGCTAGCTCATTTCCTAGTACCCCTACATGTCCTGGCACGAAAATGAAACTAATCCTTGTCAGCTGTGAATTCTTTAGAGCCACCAACTACTGCTTTCGGACCCAGCCTTTCTCTGTCTTCCTGAGTATACTCATTGAGTCACAGAGAAAGCATGCTCCAGTGAAAGTCTGTGTCTATAGCCATGTTACTGCTTTAGTCACAGCCATGACCTCCATAGTCAGACTACTTGTAGTCATGACAAAAGCTCCAGAATCTTCCTTAACAACTCTCCCTCCAAACTGAGCCGTGAAAGCCCACGAGCTTCTAACATGGCGGATTACAGAACCATCTGTGTAAATGGCAGCATCACCCTCTAGAGCGTTCTTGAAAATCAAGGCTTGAACTTCTGCTTCCACAGCAGCCGGACTCTGTTGTCTGCATTTTCTGTCTAGTTGGATGTAAACAGAAAAATATGTACATCATTCTGAAGGCACTTGCATCCACTCCTCGCCGGGTTCTGTGTCCTCAAGGAACATACCTGTAAAATAATGTTTTTCAGGTGGACCCATCCACGATTTGCCTCTTTTTAACCTGCTGCCTTGTATCTTCTTGATTTGACTATGTAATTGATGTTGTGTGTCCGCCTTGACTGTGAGGTAGGCACGAGCTCGTGAAATTTGTATTCTGTCTTCCATGATCGGAAAATCAAGAAGGTAGCCCATAGCCCTGCATGCTGCATCTCTTGTACATATAAGTATAATGCGCATAGCCTTGTTCTGTATCCTTTCTATCTGCTTATGGCTGAGAGTCAGGATCGCCATCTTGAAAAAAACAGAAAGGACCAGACCTTGGTATAGAAGACACAGAGGACGCTGCTCACAGTTTGCCGCCGCCATCACTCTCATCGCAGCCAGACCCCCGCTTGGCTTTCATTAAAATCATATCTATGCACAGCATCCTGTCTTGAAAGCTGAAATATTTTGGTCATATCAAGCGCCATGACGGATTGGAAAAAATTATAGCAGAAGGCATGGTACCAGGAAGAAGGGGCAGGGGCTGACCGACACGAAGATGGGCACAGGATATAGGTGAATCCTTGAGTATGAAAGTACATAAGACGGTTGAACTGGCGAGAGACCGAGTTTCTTTCAGGGAGACCGTGATGAGAGTGACGTTCTGCAAAGTACCTGCTACATGATGATGATGAATTGCTCAGTATAAGCAAGGCTTCAATCAAAATGTATCCCCATGTATTTCATTGCATTCGTTCTTTCCAACATCCTCAGAACACAGACTAACATTTGGTGTTGGAGTTTTCACAATATGGTTATTCAAAGAGAACCATGTCACTGCCGCCTTCGTTGGGTTGACCGGTGCACCAGCTTCACCGCACCAAGTGTTTATTTGATTGAGCTCTTTTTGTAGTTCTTCAGCAACCTTCTCTCTACCCTAGCGCTGACGATACACTAACACATCGTCAGCATATGACAGTGTTCTTCCGGGTCCTGTGATTTGCTGTAAACGTTGAACAACACAGGGGATAATGGTGATCCTTGTGGCAGGCCGGGATGTATTATTGTTGGTTCACAAGTCCAGCTGCCGCATCTGAACACTACTCATCGCGAGCACGTGTGTGTGCGCGTGCATATTTTTTTGTTTTATTTTGTGTGTTTGAAAGTACACGAGATAGACAGAAGGTTGTGGATAGACATGAACTTTAAACTTTTTTTTTTCTTACTGCAAACAGGTGCAGCATGCGTTCTCACAAGGAAATGTTTATTTTGTTATTGTTTCAAGAAGAGACATTATAGCTGGTTCAGAAATCACCATTCCTTTTGATTACAACTATGAAAACTGGTAAGATCTTTGTTTATTACAAACTACATCTCTGTTTTCGATGTTATGTCCCAATATCACTTTAGAAAGCAACGTGTTTGTAGGCCACATCTTTCCAGACTATAGTGTTTTGCTGTGGCCAGGCATGAGAATCACAGCCTATGGCCAGACATGAGAATCACAGCCTAAGGCCAGACATGAGAATCACAGTCTATAACCAGACAGGAGAATCACAGGCTATGGCCAGACATGAGAATCACAGTCTATGGCCAGACATGAGAATCACAGCCTAAGGCCAGACATGAGAATCACAGGCTATGGCCAGACATGAGAATCACAGTCTATAACCAGACATGAGAATCACAGGCTATGGCCAGACATGAGAATCACAGTCTATGGCCAGGCATGAGAATCACAGTCTATGGCCAGGCATGAGAATCACAGCCTAAGGCCAGACATGAGAATCACAGCCTAAGGCCAGACATGAGAATCACAGCCTATGGCCAGACATGAGAATCACAGCCTATGCCAGACATGAGAATCACAGCCTAAGGCCAGACATGAGAATCACAGCCTAAGGCCAAACATGAGAATCACAGTCTATGGAGGGGCATGAGAATCACAGGCTATGGAGGGGCATGAGAATCACAGCCTATGGCCAGACATGAGAATCACAGCCTATGGCCAGACATGAGAATCACAGCCTATGGCCAGACATGAGAATCACAGCCTATGGCCAGACATGAGAATCACAGCCTATGGCCAGACATGAGAATCACAGCCTATGGCCAGACATGAGAATCACAGCCTATGGCCAGACATGAGAATCACAGCCTATGGCCAGACATGAGAATCACAGCCTATGGCCAGACATGAGAATCACAGTCTATGGAGGGGCATGAGAATCACAGTCTATGGAGGGGCATGAGAATCACAGCCTATGGCCAGACATGAGAATCACAGCCTATGGCCAGACATGAGAATCACAGCCTATGGCCAGACATGAGAATCACAGCCTAAGGCCAGACATGAGAATCACAGGCTAAGGCCAGACATGAGAATCACAGCCTATGGAGGGGCATGAGAATCACAGGCTATGGCCAGACATGAGAATCACAGCCTATGGAGGGGCATGAGAATCACAGGCTAGGGCCAGACATGAGAATCACAGCCTATAGCCAGACATGAGAATCACAGTCTATGGCCAGACATGAGAATCACAGCCTATGGCCAGACATGAGAATCACAACCTAAGGCCAGACATGAGAATCACAGTCTATGGCCAGACATGAGAATCACAGTCTATGGCCAGACATGAGAATCACAGTCTATGGCCAGACATGAGAATCACAGTCTATGGCCAGACATGAGAATCACAGCCTAAGGCCAGACATGAGAATCACAGTCTATGGCCAGACATGAGAATCACAGTCTATGGCCAGACATGAGAATCACAACCTAAGGCCAGACATGAGAATCACAACCTAAGGCCAGACATGAGAATCACAGTCTATGGCCAGACATGAGAATCACAGTCTATGGCCAGACATGAGAATCACAACCTAAGGCCAGACATGAGAATCACAGTCTATGGCCAGACATGAGAATCACAGTCTATGGCCAGACATGAGAATCACAGTCTATGGCCAGACATGAGAATCACAGTCTATGGCCAGACATGAGAATCACAACCTAAGGCCAGACATGAGAATCACAACCTAAGGCCAGACATGAGAATCACAACCTAAGGCCAGACATGAGAATCACAGTCTATGGCCAGACATGAGAATCACAACCTAAGGCCAGACATGAGAATCACAACCTAAGGCCAGACATGAGAATCACAGGCTAAGGCCAGACATGAGAATCACAGGCTATGGCTAGGCATGAGAATCACATGCTATGGCCAGACATGAGAATCACAGCCTATGGAGGGGCATGAGAATCACAGTCTATGGCCAGGCATGAGAATCACAGGCTATGGCCAGACATGAGAATCACAGTCTATGACCAGGCATGAGAATCACAGTCTATGGCCAGACATAAGAATCACAGGCTATGGCCAGGCATGATAATCACAGCCTAAGGCCAGACATGAGAATCACAGGCTATGGCCCAACATGAGAATCACAGCCTATGGAGGGGCATGAGAATCACAGGCTATGGCCAGACATGAGAATCACAGCCTATGGAGGGGCATGAGAATCACAGGCTAGGGCCAGACATGAGAATCACAGCCTATAGCCAGACATGAGAATCACAGTCTATGGCCAGACATGAGAATCACAGCCTATGGCCAGACATGAGAATCACAACCTAAGGCCAGACATGAGAATCACAGTCTATGGCCAGACATGAGAATCACAGTCTATGGCCAGACATGAGAATCACAGTCTATGGCCAGACATGAGAATCACAGTCTATGGCCAGACATGAGAATCACAACCTAAGGCCAGACATGAGAATCACAGTCTATGGCCAGACATGAGAATCACAGTCTATGGCCAGACATGAGAATCACAACCTAAGGCCAGACATGAGAATCACAACCTAAGGCCAGACATGAGAATCACAGTCTATGGCCAGACATGAGAATCACAGTCTATGGCCAGACATGAGAATCACAACCTAAGGCCAGACATGAGAATCACAGTCTATGGCCAGACATGAGAATCACAGTCTATGGCCAGACATGAGAATCACAGTCTATGGCCAGACATGAGAATCACAGTCTATGGCCAGACATGAGAATCACAACCTAAGGCCAGACATGAGAATCACAACCTAAGGCCAGACATGAGAATCACAACCTAAGGCCAGACATGAGAATCACAGTCTATGGCCAGACATGAGAATCACAACCTAAGGCCAGACATGAGAATCACAACCTAAGGCCAGACATGAGAATCACAGGCTAAGGCCAGACATGAGAATCACAGGCTATGGCTAGGCATGAGAATCACATGCTATGGCCAGACATGAGAATCACAGCCTATGGAGGGGCATGAGAATCACAGTCTATGGCCAGGCATGAGAATCACAGGCTATGGCCAGACATGAGAATCACAGTCTATGACCAGGCATGAGAATCACAGTCTATGGCCAGACATAAGAATCACAGGCTATGGCCAGGCATGAGAATCACAGCCTAAGGCCAGACATGAGAATCACAGGCTATGGCCCAACATGAGAATCACAGTCTATGGCCAGGCATGAGAATCACAGGCTATGGCCAGACATGAGAATCACAGTCTATGACCAGGCATGAGAATCACATTCTATGGCCAGACATAAGAATCACAGGCTATGGCCAGGCATGAGAATCACATGTGTGACTAATAACACCAGCTTGAGTTGAGAAAAGTCTTCCACAATTAGAGCATGGGACTCTTACAGTCTTACTTTGCATTTATGGACACATGAATGATGGAGAATGAGAAGCAACAATAAAATTCATAATCTGTTTAAATATCTAGTTAATTACTGGCATTAAGGACTGCAGTAGTTGTGGCATTTAGAGAGAATGGCAGATAATATACACAAGCTGATTACATTAAAGAGTTGAATGGAGGCAGACCAAGCAGATCATGGAGAGACAATAATAAAAATGGGCCTACAAGACCTGGAGTCAGCTGTCTGAAAGAGGCTGGTTACAGATAAAGAAGATAAAAAAGATGCCAGGTGTAATGTATATATACTGTTGTCTTCTTCACTTTTACCGGGTTGCAGCCCAGTGTCGTGGTTTAAAATATTTGTTTTGTGCCTCTCGCGTGATTTGAGTGACAGTTTTCTGAATCTTTAGCCGTATTCAGCTACTCCATCTATCCATTTTTTCCTGGGTCTTCCTCTGGCCTTTCTTCCCGATGTTCTATTGTAAAAGGCCTTATAGGCAATCTAATCCGGTTGCATTCTTACTAAATGACCAAACCACTTCATTCTCTGTCTTTCAAAATGTTCCATGAATGCTCTTGTTCCAACTTTGTCTCTAATGCTGACGTTTGTGACTCTGTCTCTTCGTGTATTGTTGGTGACTCTTCGGAGACATCGCATTTCACACGTAGTTATTTTTTTGCATATGTGATTTGTTCATTGTCCACGTTTGGCACTGATAACATAACGTAGGGATGAAAATGCTGTTGATCATCCGTTGTTTGGCTGGTAACGAGATCTTTGGATGACGAAGAAGTGGGGCCAGTTGGTAGTTGACTGCATTGGCTTTTTGAACTCTAGCCTGTATCTCTTTATCGAGTCTTCCATCTTCTGTAAATATGCATCCTAAGTACTTGAATTCTTGAACTTGTTCTAATTGTATGTCATTGATCTTTATGTTTACATTACTGTGTTTCTTTCCTATGGTCATTACTTCAGTTTTTGAGGTGTTTATTTTCATGTCAAATTTTGTACAGTTAGTGAGCAATGAATCAACATGTTGTAGATTTTGTTCTTCTTCTTGTAACAAACATTGGTCATCTGCAAAGAGTAGTTCATTTATAATATCTGTGTTTTGGTTTGACTCCTGTGCAGTTTTATCCATATATGTGATAAAGAGTAGGGGTGATAGGACACATCCTTGTCGTACTCCTGATGTAATGGGGAACCAGTCTGTCAAACCTTCCGTTGTTCTTACAGCGCTCTGGCTATTTTGATAGAGAGCCATTATGTTTCCCAATAATTGACCCGGTACACCATATTCTTCAAGAAGGTTCCATAGTTTTTTTCTGTTAACCCTGTCAAAAGCCTTCTCTTGATCAATGAATATAAGATTCTGGTGTTTATTATATTCGATTGTCTGTTCACAAATTTGCCTAAGAGTAAAAATTGCATCAGTGCAGCTCTTTCCTTTTCTAAATCCAAACTGGTTGTTACTTAATTAAGGTTCTAATATCACCCTCGCTCTTCGTTCTAATATTTTTGCCGCTTTGTTTCTTTTGCTTTGCTCTAGGATCTTTTCAACTTCAGATTCTAATATATTAGGTTCTTGTTCTTGTCCAAATTTTATTTTATTAGACACTGGTTCTTGTGGTCCACTATTCAGTAATTCAGAAAAATATTCTCGCCATCTTCTTTTAACAGCTTGGGATTTGGTGAGTGGTTTTTTAGCCTTGCTGTTTATGATCTTTGATGGGTTAAATTTCTCTTCTCTCAGTCTCATAGCCTTGATGCTTCGGTAGAACTGACCTGGTGAATCAGTGCATAGCCTTGCTAATTGTTCTCCGTAGTTTGCCCATGATTCTGATTTCGCCGAATTTACTTTACTCTTGCTCTTTGCTCTTGCTTTTCTTTAATTGATGTAGTCCTCATCTAATTTGGACTTTTGCCACTGATGAAAATATTTCTTCTTTTCTTTGATAGAAATTTTAACTTCTTCATTCCACAATGCTGTTTGTTTCATGTGCCTTCTTGGCTTTTGGAGTCCTCACTTTTCTGTCATTACATTCAGGATGCAGGTTTTAAAAATTTGCCACTCTTCTTCTATGTCATTTCCTCTCTCTAGAGTACTGAAGGTGTTTTTAACTGTTTCCTTAACTTGAATTGCCACATCTTTGTCTTATAGTTTCTCTATGGCTGTCTGATCCATTAGCTGTGGTGTTTTATCAGTGCAAATTCTTGTTGGTTTATAGAGCGTATTTTATATTAGTGCTGTGTAACTGAATGCTTTTTATTTTTAAACTTGAAACATGAATTTGCTAATTGAAAAACTGGTATTCTCTGTAATGTATATATACTGTTGTAAATTCTAGCCAGGGATATACAATATTTGCTGAATTGTCTGTTTGTGTGTGGTTTTCAGTTGTTACTATGTTGAATGTGCCTGTACCAAGAGCAGTTGTATGGTGTCCAGATTTTGGAAGCGACTCAAGAATGCACAGAAGTAAGATACTAGCTTCTTCCTCGCACAATCCAATAACCAAGTAGCCACAAGTAGTCACATCTATGTGGTTAATGAAATGTGTTTTGTCCTATAGTCACATATGTGGTTAATGAAATGTGTTTTGTCCTATAGTCACATATGTGGTTAATGAAATGTGTTTTGTCCTATAGTCACATATGTGGTTAATGAAATGTGTTTTGTCCTATAGTCACATATGTGGTTAATGAAATGTGTTTTGTCCTATAGTCACATATGTGGTTAATGAAATGTGTTTTGTCCTATAGTCACATATGTAGTTAATGAAATGTGTTTTGTCCTATAGGTCGGCGCCTGTGGCTTAGGAGTTGCGAACACGCTTTGTAATGCCAGGGTGTGGGGTTCGATCCCAGCGACAGACGATGTGTCTTGTGTTAGTTTCGACAGTGGTACAGAGAGCTGACCGTCTAACAGCAAACTGCTAAGCAGCAATTCAGTAGGACTTTCAGTTGTTGACAGATATTTGGACCAAGGTTTTTTGCATAGTAGGACATTTGGCCAGTGAACTCTACTCATGTTCCAAATGAGCATCAAAGACATTGCATTGAGGCTAGGCTAATGTGAGTTAGAGGATTTCTGGATACAGCATCTCTGGGGGCCACCCACTCCAAGTTCAGGCCGATTTATGCCATTTTTTGTGGCGTACAACATGGGCATATTGATTCCTGCATGAGGATATATAAAACTAGCTCAGAGCCTGCTGGTGCCCGGAGGAGGTAAAGGTTAAGTCGAGAGGCGTGAACCAGTGTCATTGCACACGGTTATAAATGGGCTGTGCCACCAGTACAGACGGCTGTTAAGAAACTGTCTGACTGTATCACCGTCCGCACACAACTCCGTAGCTACAACGATGTTCCTCCATTTACCACTAGAGGCTGGGTGAACACCAGCCGTGGGCTGAAGAAAGTTGCAGCTGGATTTAAAAGCAAGTCTCCTTTCGACTGTGCTAATGCCCCCAATTCCTGGCTGATGTATGGAGTATCTCATTATTCACATCACAGTAGCCTTACTTTCCCTCACGCCTGTGACTGACATTTATTTTCTATGTAATATATTTTTTGTATGTGTGCTTTATATTTCCGGCTATATCAGATGAGAGATGAGTATGCAGCTGGTTATCATTGCACCCCAAAATCAGCTGAGGGAGACTGATCACTTATGGGTGTGTTTTAAGTGCAGTGGTCTTGCTTCTGCAAACTTCTGATTTGTATTTTAAAATGTACACATTTCTGTCAATATAATCATAGAAAAACTAATGTTAAAACTTTAAAAATTTCTTAAAATTAACTGGTTTTTCTCTCCATACTTGTTTTAACAAAATTATTTATTGAACCCTCTTCGTCAGTTTATGTATTCATTGCCTTTAAAATCATATTCACCTTAGGTCACCACCTGCAGAAATGGGTGTGAAACGAAAGCGACAGCCATCCGGGAAAGAGACCTGCAAGATCAATCTAGAGGATAAATTAAACTGCAGCTCTTCTCAGGGAAGCCCTACTAAAGCTTCCATGTCTCCAGTTAAAGCCTTGCAAATGAAGCTGACGCCACCTGTGGCCAGCAGTCCTCTTTCTTCTCTCAGCAGCCCCATCAAACTGTCCAATGTCTGCACACTGCTGGCAGCGTCAGCGTTGCTCGATGGTCAACCAGAACTGGCCACTAGCCTGAAGCTTGAAGTCCCAGAATTATTGCCGGTATGAATTCTGTGTTTGTTAGTTTGAGCAAAACCTTTCTGCAGACATTATCCTGTGATATTTTTAAAGAAATTTGCTGTTGAAGAGAGCTGATTATCTAGTGAGTCAAACTTTACTCCTTGATGTCAGTGGCCGGCGATATCGCATCTTTTTTTTTCTGCTGGAGCGCTTTTAACCGTCCTAAAATGTGCAGCTGGGCCTTACCCTACTCCACAGCCTCAGCCTATGTCTCACGACTTTATGCAGCCTCTGCTATATGTTTCATACAGTTGGGCGACCTAGGATGCGCCCCTGCAACATAGTAGAGGGGCTACACCAGACTGAGTCATCAATGGGAAGGGAAGTCACTCTCATCGTTGGGTCTCTTAACGTGACTGAAACTGACCTAGGATGATGTCGGACAGCTTGACATCATTGTTGGAAAAAACTTCTGTTGACATCGTGGTTAGGAAGAGCTTCTGTATCAGAAAAGATTGACAGTACGTGAGTGAGAAGGCAGTGGACAAATACGGTTCCAAGTGATACATGGCATTGATTGTGAGAAGAGTCAATTGAGAGAATAAAATGAAAGAAGAAGACAAAATAATTGTTGTCTTTAACATCTTTTAGTGGATGTTGTCATGGGAGAAATCTTTAATCATAAGAGAGAGTTTAATCAGGGGATGAATGTCGTCCTAGGCAAAATCTTCAATCATAAGAGAAAATGTCATCAGGTGATGAATGTCGTCATAGGAAAAATCTTTAATCATAAGAGAGAATGTAACCAGGGAATGAATGTCATCATGGGAGTAACTTTAGTCATGTGAGAGAATGTAATCAGTCAATGAATGTCATCATGGGAGAAACTGTAATCATGTGAGAGAATGTAATCAGTCAATGAATGTTATCATGGGAGAAACTGTAATCATGAGAGAGAATGTAATCAGTCAATGAATGTTATCATGAGAGTAACTATAATCATGTGAGAGAATGTCATCAGGGTAGAGAATTTTAACATGGATGAAACTGTAATCATGTAAGAGATTGTAATCAGGGGGGGGGGGGGGGGGGGGGGGGGACAGGGTGCTGAGATATTCACAGCTGTAGACATTGCCAAGTTAGAAAATGAGAAATAAAATTTGTGTTGCTTTCTTACCCTTTTAAGAAAGGCATAAAACATCTGATAAAGAGATAAAATATGTTTTTAGCAAACCCCAGTACTTCAGCTGCCACCTAAGTCAGCCACAGCATCGAGGAGGGGCAGCAGACTATCTGAGGATTCTATCAAGGAAGAAAAACCAGTTGTTGCTCCAATTGTGCCAGTGAAAGAAAAACATAAAACTAAAGAGGTAAGTTGAGCCCAACCGCAGATTGAGTCTTCCTGACTCTATACAAGTTTATCGAGAATGATTCCTGGGATTTAAAACTGTTATTATAAAAGAAGTATTCACTGGATATGCAGCTCTTAAAGTGTTCAGAAAAAAGTTTAAACTTTCATGGAACTCTAAGGCTTGAAGCAGTAATGAGAAGGTAATGACTAATGACATACAGCACATTTTAAAGAGAAGCTTTCTGAAGCAATTGCAACTGTAACTCTGAATACGCTTCAGAAGATGTGACAAGAGATCAAATACCGTCTCCAAAGCTACAAATGGTATCAATTCCCAGGTGTACTAAGGCCAGTCTCAAGCTCAACTTTTCTGAACATTTGAAGACACAACATCTTGATTTCCTTTAAATACTTCTTTTATAATAACATTTTAAAAGAATGCTTCACCAAGCTAAATTTCTTGGTCATGCAGTCATGTTAGCGTCAGAGATTCAACATATCCCCCCAACTTAGCCTGTACAGCGTTGATAATATCAGCTCTACCCATGCTTCTTTCTGTATGTATTGGTGCATTACTTGCCAGCTGGTCAACTTTTTTTATTATCATGTACTCCTGCGTGCCCAGGGATTTAGATCCAAATGATGGAGGTTAACTGTGACTTTTGAATTCTTTCTACCCTTTCGGAGCGTTGACTACCGGTTGGGATTTTCTGAAGCATGTTCTTGGAGTCTGAAACGATTCTGCATGTGTGGCCACTTGTTCTGCAACTGTTATCTTCATGCTCGTGCTTGACGTAGTTGTCTTGTAAGCGCCTGCCCTAGCTGATCTTCACCAGTGCTTTACAGACTGACCTATCGGTGTCAGTGACAATACCTTCTGTGTGTGAATGCTGGTCAGTCAGTGCCCTTACCTCAATGTCTGAGGTGGCAGGTAGCTGACTTCTGTACTCTCTCCCCAGTGTTATGACAACTTTAGACAGGTCATGCATGTCTACTGGTGTATCCATCAAACTGTTTTCCCCAGCCTACTGTGATGTTTAATGTAGCTAGAATACCTCAGATTTTGCTGTTTATGAGCCAGTTTTTCTCAGTGAGGATGTCAAGGTTTTTTCTTTCTTGGTCCTTGTCATTCTAAGAATTTGTAGAGAACATTTCTGTTCAAAAGTCCGGTTTTGCCATTGTTCTTTCTCCCCAGTTCACCTGGCTTACCTGCCTGCAGTAGGAACCTCACCTTCAGATCTTTGGGTTTTTTTTTTAGCTTGTCAAGTGATAAAGTGGCAATCTCCCTTTGCTTTCTATATCCACATGGCTGAGTACGACAACTTTCAGTAGTCTTTCAGATTGCCAGGGTAACTTAGTACCCTACTCATTGATGCTAACTCAGGTAGAACTGTTCACCTGTCCCAGCTGATAGCTGCACGGTTCACCGCTGTGAGGAGCTGTTTGGATTTTCTTTTTACCAAAACATGAGGCTAGGGTGATATTTACCATGCTGGTTATGGTGCTGGCTCCATATTTTTAAATCACTGGGCATTCAATAGATGATAAAATGGACAGACCACATTTCTAATTATGGTTGCCTATGAAGCTGGACTGCATCTGCCTGAGAGGCAAGGAACCAGCAGTCTCCATAAAATAAGCCAGATCTTTAAAATGGATGTGCACAAGATTCTAGAACAAGTTTAAAGTCCAGAAGTGGGCGAACAACCAAAACTTTCTGCCTGTTTACAGCCGTTGAATGGAAAAAAAAAAAAAAAAAAAAAAAAAGAAGTAGATTTAAAAATCTGGTCTTGATCTGAAAACTGAACCATCAAGCCATGAGAAAAGCTCGTCTGCTACCACACCTCTCATTGTTTCAGCAGCATCATGGCCAAGCCATGAGAAAAGCTCGTCTGCTACCACACCTCATTGTTTCAGCAGCAGCATCATGACCAAGCCATGAGAAAAGCTCGTCTGCTACCACACCTCTCATTGTTTCAGCAGCATCATGACCAAGCCATGAGAAAAGCTCGTCTGCTACCACACCTCTCATTGTTTCAGCAGCAGCATCATGACCAAGCCATGAGAAAAGCTCGTCTGCTACCACACCTCTCATTGTTTCAGCAGCAGCATCATGACCAAGCCATGAGAAAAGCTCGTCTGCTTCCACACCTCTCATTGTTTCAGCAGCATCATTTTTAAGCCATGAGAAAAGCTCGTCTGCTACCACACCTCTCATTGTTTCAGCAGCAGCATCATGTCCAAGCCATGAGAAAAGCTCGTCTGCTACCACACCTCTCATTGTTTCAGCAGCATCATGGCCAAGCCATGAGAAAAGCTCGTCTGCTACCACACCTCTCATTGTTTCAGCAGCAGCATCATGACCAAGCCATGAGAAAAGCTCGTCTGCTACCACACCTCTCATTGTTTCAGCAGCATCATTTTTAAGCCATGAGAAAAGCTCGTCTGCTACCACACCTCTCATTGTTTCAGCAGCATCATGTCATGTCTATTAAAAGCTTGATCTGTTGCACTAAAAGTAGAAACTTTTTTTTCCCACTTAACATAGAAGCTCTTTTTCAGTTGACATAGAAACTTTTTTCCCCACCTAATGTAGAAACTCCTTTTCACTCAAAGTAGAAACCCTTTTGTGTGTGTTAATGAATGGTTGACATTTGCAGCCTAAGCCAAAAGACAAGGAAAACAAAGATGCCCATCCTCTCAACGTTGAGATCAAGAAAGAGAGGCGCCCTTCTTTGAGGAGACACAGTCAAGAGGATCTGCAGGATATTGTGGACGTGAAGCCTGAACCATTGGCTTCACCTGTGCATGATTCAGAAGACGCACACTCATCCTCAGAGTGTCCTCGCAAACTGGTGGGTTGGCTTAGCAATAATGTATTATGTTAGTAGTTTGTTTCTTGGAAAAGTAGAAACTGTTAGCACAAGGGGAAGATGCATAAATGTCAAGTTCTAGAAAGAAAACCTTTGCACACGTTTTAGGCCGGTTGTGCTTTATCATTATGAAACATGGACAGTTACCACCAATGTTTGCCTTGACTTCTAATAAGGATGGTAACTAACCAAATAGGAAAAGTTGCTGAGGATTTAGCTTTGCATATTTTTATAATCTAGTTGTCTCCACAGCAGTAATTGCTACTGCTTGGGGTGTTCTAATGACCTACACCTGATTTGTTTCTTATCTAGTCTAAACTATGGCAGAAAGTAGCAGACAGAGTCTTTCTAGGGTGGAAAATAGCAGGCGATTGTCTTGTATAGACTAAACTAGAGCAATAAGTGGCAGGCCAGTGTCTTGTCTAGTCTAAACTAGTGAGGAAAGTAGCAGGCCAGTGTCTTGTCTAGTCTAAACTAGAGCAACAAGTAGCAGGCCAGTGTCTTGTCTAGTCTAAACTAGTGAGGAAAGTAACAGGCCAGTGTCTTGTCTAGTCTAAACTAGAGCAACAAGAAGCAGGCCAGTGTCTTGTCTAGTCTAAACTAGAGCAACAAGTAGCAGGCCAGTGTCTTGTCTAGTCTAAACTAGTGAGGAAAGTAGCAGGCCAGTGTCTTGTCTAGTCTAAACTAGAGCAACTAGTAGCAGGCCAGTGTCTTGTCGTCTAAACTAGAGCAACAAGTAGCAGGCCAGTGTCTTGTCGTCTAAACTAGAGCAACAAGTAGCAGGCCAGTGTCTTGTCTAATCTAAACTAGAGCAACAAGTAGCAGGCCAGTGTCTTGTCGTCTAAACTAGAGCAACAAGTAGCAGGCCAGTGTCTTGTCTAGTCTAAACTAGAGCAACAAGTAGCAGGCCAGTGTCTTGTCGTCTAAACTAGAGCAACAAGTAGCAGGCCAGTGTCTTGTCTAATCTAAACTAGAGCAACAAGTAGCAGGCCAGTGTCTTGTCTAGTCTAAACTAGTGAGGAAAGTAGCAGGCCAGTGTCTTGTCTAATCTAAACTAGAGCAACAAGAAGCAGGCCAGTGTCTTGTCTAATCTAAACTAGAGCAACAAGTAGCAGGCCAGTGTCTTGTCTAGTCTAAACTAGTGAGGAAAGTAGCAGGCCAGTGTCTTGTCTAGTCTAAACTAGAGCAATAAGTGGCAGGCCAGTGTCTTGTCTAGTCTAAACTAGTGAGGAAAGTAGCAGGCCAGTGTCTTGTCTAGTCTAAACTAGAGCAATAAGTGGCAGGCCAGTGTCTTGTCTAGTCTAAACTAGTGAGGAAAGTAGCAGGCCAGTGTCTTGTCTAGTCTAAACTAGAGCAACAAGAAGCAGGCCAGTGTCTTGTCTAGTCTAAACTAGAGCAACAAGTAGCAGGCCAGTGTCTTGTCTAGTCTAAACTAGAGCAACTAGTAGCAGGCCAGTGTCTTGTCGTCTAAACTAGAGCAACAAGTAGCAGGCCAGTGTCTTGTCGTCTAAACCAGAGCAACAAGTAGCAGGCCAGTGTCTTGTCTAATCTAAACTAGAGCAAGTAGCAGGCCAGTGTCTTGTCTGGTCTAAACTAGAGCAACAAGTAGCAGGCCAGTGTCTTGTCGTCTAAACTAGAGCAACAAGTAGCAGGCCAGTGTCTTGTCTAATCTAAACTAGAGCAACAAGTAGCAGGCCAGTGTCTTGTCTAGTCTAAACTAGTGAGGAAAGTAGCAGGCCAGTGTCTTGTCTAGTCTAAACTAGAGCAACAAGAAGCAGGCCAGTGTTTTGTCTAGTCTAAACTAGAGCAACAAGTAGCAGGCCAGTGTCTTGTCTAGTCTAAACTAGAGCAACAAGTAGCAGGCCAGTGTCTTGTCTAATCTAAACTAGAGCAAGTAGCAGGCCAGTGTCTTGTCTAGTCTAAACTAGAGCAACAAGTTGCAGGCCAGTGTCTTGTCTAGTCTAAACTAGAGCAACAAGAAGCAGGCCAGTGTCTTGTCTAGTCTAAACTAGAGCAACAAGTAGCAGGCCAGTGTCTTGTCTAGTCTAAACTAGAGCAACAAGTAGCAGGCCATTGTTTTGTCTAATCTAAACTAGAGCAAGTAGCAGGCCAGTGTCTTGTCTAGTCTAAACTAGAGCAACAAGTAGCAGGCCAGTGTCTTGTCTAGTCTAAACTAGAGCAACAAGTGGCAGGCCAGTGTCTTGTCTAGTCTAAACTAGAGCAACAAGTAGCCGGCCAGTGTCTTGTCTAGTCTAAACTAGAACAGAAAGTAACAGGCCAGTGTCTTGTCTAATCTAAACTAGAACAGAAAGTAACAGGCCAGTGTCCTAATGTAAACTAGTACAGAAAGTAACAGGCCAGTGTCTTGTCTAATCTAAACTAGAACAGAAAGTAACAGGCCAGTGTCTTGTCTAATCTAAACTAGAACAGAAAGTAACAGGCCAGTGTCTTGTCTAATCTAAACTAGAACAGAAAGTAGCAGGCCAGTGTCTTGTCTAATCTAAATTAGTACAGAAAGTAACAGGCCATTGTCTTGTCTAATCTAAACTAGAACAGATAGTAACAAGCCAGTGTCTTGTCTAATCTAAGCTAGAACAGAAAGTAACAGGCCAGTGTCTTGTCTTATCTAAACTAGAACAGAAAGTAACAGGCCAGTGTCTTGTCTAATCTAAACTAGAACAGAAAGTAACAGGCCAGTGTCTTGTCTAGTCTAATCTAGTACAGAAAGTAGCTGTCCAGTATCTTATACTGTCTACTATTGCAGAAAGTATCCTCCCATTGTCTTATCTAGTCTAAAGTATGGCAGAAAGTAATTGTCCAGAGTCTGGTCTAGTCTAATCTGTGTCAGTTCTTATCTAGACTAGAGCTGAAAATAACACATGCTTTGTCTATTTTAAACTGGGGCAGATTATATCTGGCCTTGGCAAAAAATAACACTAGTCATATCAAATCTAAAATAGGGCAGAAAATAATACATGTATGTCATCTAGTTAAAACTGGGGCAGACATTAGCAGGAAAGTGTCTTTAGAGTTGAAAATAACATAAATCTCATCTAGACTAAACTAGGGCAGAAAATCATCTGCCAGTGTCTTGTCTAACCTAAACTAAGTTTGTAACAGATACTTGATAGCTCATGCAAAGCACATTGTTTCAGTTTCTGCATTTAGAGGTGCTTCAGCTTTTCATTAAATGTCCTTTATTGACATTTCATTTCTGTAAATATAGTAGCCTGTTGTATTAAATTATGAGTATCCCCTATGTGTGTATCCCCCATGTGAGTATCTCCCATGTGAGTGTCCCCCATGTGAGTGTCCCCCATGTGAGTGTCCCCCATGTGAGTGTCCCCCATGTGAGTATCCCCCATGTGAGTGTCCCCCGTGTGAGTATCTCCCATGTGAGTATCTCCCATGTGAGTATCTCCCATGTGAGTATCCCCCATGTGAGTATCCCCCATGTGAGTATCTCCCATGTGAGTATCTCCCATGTGAGTATCCCCCATGTGAGTTCTGAGATCTCATAGTGGGGGAAACAAAAATAGACCCACTATCTTCCCAACAAGCATGTCCTAGGAGTTGACTATTTGGGGGGCATCTGCCCAGAAGGAAAGAAACCAAGAGTCTGCTTACAAATAAGCCAGCTCTGTAAAACTGATAAGCATGCAACACTCAGGTCTGGAACAAGACTAAAGTCTGGAATTGGATGAGCAACCAGAACTTTCTGCTAGAGTTTACAGCTGGTGAACACAAGAATAAATTAGTAATAGAATGTGTTGCACTTGGAATTCGCTTCATCGTCAAAGTTATTGTGATGTTATTATATCTTATTTAACAGACTAGAGAAGAGAGAAAACTGGATGCTATTATGAAAGCCTTTGAAAAGATGGAAAAAAGAGAAGAACGAAGAAAGGAGGCAATGGCTCGTGGAGACTGTGCTGCAAAGAAATGTCACGCAGATCACAAAGTAAGAAAGGTAGGCAGTGTTTTATCGTCAAATCATAGTCTATGGAGTTCTGTAGAATCATATTTGTGTGTGCTTGCCTGGGGGGTGGTGGGGTTCTAGACTCTCATTAAAAACTCTTGTTTTTAGGACCTGTATTTCCCATTTCCCAGTTTTTAGGGTGTCGTAGACACATATGTCTAGAGCAGCTGTTCTCAACCAGTGGGCCGCGACCCTTTTTGTGTGTGGGTGGAACGACTCTTTCACAGGGGTCGCCAAAGACCATTGGAAAACACATATTCATTGAAGTTTTGAAGTAGCAAAGAAAATAATTGTTTGGTTGGGGGTCGCTACAACATGAGGAACTGTATTAAAGGGTCACAGCGTTAGGAAAGTTGAGAGCCACTGGTCTAGAGGCTGTGTATTTGTAACTGCAAGGCTAGTGTAGTCGCCATGGATTGTGCTGATTTGTCATTGTTAATTTGTTGTTGTTGTTGTTGCCACCAGGGCTAATTTTGTTTTTGTTTTGGATACCTCTGTCATCCTTTACGTCTAGAAGCATGAATGCGACGGCGGTATGAATTGTGCAGCAGCCAGCAGCTCCCACACAACATCCCAAGACAGCTCTCCTGATGCAGTGGACTTTGTGAAGACAGAACCCTCGGTCAATGATCATCAGGAGATAAAACCGTCAGAAGCTGCAAGTGAGGTCAAACCTGAGAGTGCCGCAAGTGTCGTCAGCCCTGACGCTGGTAGCAAACAGTGTGTTGGAACAGCCTTCCCATTACTGACGTTACCAGCTCTACCAGAGACCACCCCAGCTGCTGCTAAAATAGAATCTCCTCAGAAACCAGTGAGAAAATCGGATAAAAGAAAGAGAAGGTATGTGCTATAACTATTGGGTTGTTTCATTTTGTCTTTGTGAATGATTTAATGGATAATTACTCAAATATATACTGTGTTTCTTCTTCTTTGCCGTCATCTTCTTCTCCTCTTCCTTTCTAACCTGCAATGAAGCATAGGCCCTCAACCAACTCACGCCAGATCATTCTATCCTTCACTTTCGCAAGCAGCTCTCCCCATGTCCTACCCATCCTTTCAACCTCACTCTCCAGCTGTCTTCTCCATGTGCTTTATTTAAAATAAAATACATTCTTTAAGACCTGCCAGTTTGTTGTGTCATTGCCGCCCCTGATTGGCTAACAACAAGGGCGGGTGCAAACAAATCTGCTTTCTGATAAAGGATGTAATCACTGAATACAAATGAAGCAAACGGTGAATTGCTTTTACTCTGTTGGACCATGACAACAGCGGTTTCATTGACACAGTCGCAGGAAACAACATGATGTCTTTAGAAGTTTATTATAACATAACGATGACGAGAGACCCCCCCCCCCCCCCCACGGTTTTTGTTGTTAAAAAAAGCATATCTCATATTGTTCCTGTGAAAGATTTTACAACAGATATATTGATAGCAAGTCCATAATTCAAACAATAAAGCTTAGAAATGATGTTTTCTGCAATAGGGACACCATCTGGCTAGGTGGAGTAACTGCTGTCAGGGTGACGTGTGTAACCATGGGAGCAGGTGGTGGATTGAGCTTGAGAGTAGCTGACAGTTGTTGATCGAGGTCTCGGGTTCCTCTGTGATAGGCAGAGAATCATGCCGGACCAGTATAGTCACTGCCAAAAATGAAAGTAATGGCAAACTACCTTCTTCAGATTAGAATAGCCATGATTTCACAGCTTAACATATTTTCAGATCCTGATCCATGATTGTAGTAAGAGGGTGAAACATGACAGCCTGTGCTTAAAAAAAATGGCACATGATGATGACTGCAGTTATACATAATTATGTTCTCTTCACTTTATGTTGTGATGTTAGGAAGAGTAGAGTGCAGAGTACAACGGCCATCCCAGACGCAGCATCAGTGTCCACGGATGAAGGAAACAGCAACAGCAATTTTCCAATTGGACCTTTGTCAGTGCCGGCCACGCCATGTCTGATTCCCGTGAACACTAGTAGTGTACAGCATGTTGACATGGAGGATGGCCTGTTCAAGTACATTAAAACAAAAAAGGTAGTTAAGAGTTTCTTTATCATGTTCAGATCTATTGTAGCCTTTCAGGTCGACCTAGCTTTGAGTGGGTACCGGGTGCAGTCCTGGGAAGTAGAGGCGGCTGGCGTGACGCTGACCACATCACCCATCTTGTGCCGATTGGTCTATAAAAATAAGGTCTAGCCCTATATGCCCTGCACGCCTAAAGGCGGGGACAAGTTTTCTTTACTCACTTTGACTTTATTGCAGCGGTGATTGAACATTTGTTACATTTGTCATTTCCTTTACGGTCAGATATGTACTTGTCCTGATGATGTAAATATACCGTAGGCCTACATAAATAACATTTTAGAAGGACATTTAAAATTGTCAAGAGAAATTTACTTTTTTAAATTAAAAAAAAATGGCTAATGTTTGACAGAGGAGGCCGCTTAGATTATGACAAGAATGTCACTTCTGATGATTGATGGCCTTGTGATTCATTAGTATTTCCAGATGTTCACCAGCAATTTTTTTTTTATTTTTTTTAAAGAAAGTATCTATGTTTTTTTTTCTTGTTTAAATTGTTCGGATGTGTCTAAACTAGTCATTAAATGGATTGATACACCATTAACTATAGCAATGTTTGAGTGCCATTTCTCAACGAAAACCTGCATTTGTGCCCAAGCGAACAGCTGTTCCTTATTTTCAGCATTTGGAACTGGTCCATCTTCTTATTTCTTGTCTGGTGACTCACCTGCCACGTCAGACGAATTATGACTTTTCGGGTGAACAGCAAACAAAAATTTCAATGAAAAATAGGATGCATTAAAAAAAAAAAGACCAATCTTGGTGTGGGTGAATATCGGAGTTCTACAGTATTTAAATTGTCAGTTGATACTTAGTGGCTGTAACATAATGTATCAGTTGATTGGCTGGGTTGATACTTAGTGGCTCTAACATAATGTATCAGTTGATTGGCTGGGTTGATACTTAGTGGCTCTAACATAATGTATCAGTTGATTGGCTGGGTTGATACTTAGTGGCTCTAACATAATGTATCAGTTGATTGGCTGGGTTGATACTTAGTGGCTCTAACATAATGTATCAGTTGATTGGCTGGGTTGATACTTAGTGGCTCTAACATAATGTATCAGTTGATTGGCTGGGTTGATACTTAGTGGCTCTAACATAATGTATCAGTTGATTGGCTGGGTTGATACTTAGTGGCTGTAACATAATGTATCAGTTGATTGGCTGGGTTGATACTTAGTGGCTGTAACATAATGTATCAGTTGATTGGCTGCTTATCCATGCCATGATAAAGGCTGGCAGGCATCTCCTCTTTTCTTTCTCCACCCCATTTTTGTGTGTGCACATTTTTCTTTCCAGTTATTTGAACCTTAAAAATAGTTTATGCTAACATTGCTATTTTTTTAAATTGCTACAGCATCTTTTTGAGGAGTGGGCTAGCAGGCATGAAGATGAGAGCAAGCGTGAAGAAGAGATATTTGTGCAGTGCCTGCCAAACTCACATGTCAATACAATGGACCATCTACAACGGAGGCACTCTCACAGCGTCAGCTGTAGTAGTAGGAACACAGAATCAAGTGCTGGCTCTGCTAAAAAGGTATTTTATTTTGCACCATTTGTGTCTGTTTTTAAACATGTAACTTTTGCCTACACATGATTTATATTCTTATTCACAGTATTCTGAACCCTTACTTCAAAAATCACTGCTTCCATCATCTCTGAGCTTGGCATTCTCTTTCTAGTTGGTGACTCCAAGTGTTTGTAGATCTGCCTGATTGTAAATATTATCATCATCATCATCTCTGCACCTTCTTCTAGGTTCTTGATTCGTGGCAAATTGTGATATACTGTGCATATTTTGTACATTTATTACGCTGCAGTATAAACTTTTCTAGTCTTTTTTTTCCCCCATTTCTGATTTTGTTGTATGGTTACTTAATCTTCACAGTTGTGTGTTTAAATAAAGGTGCATTATAGTGCTGTACTATTTTCATGTGCATGTTGGTTAAGATAGAGAAGGCATGTCTTACATTTGTGGATGTCTCTTTATCAAGTGATCAAGGTGTAATTCACAACTGCAGACTCAGAAAATGGCAAGTGGCTGGTTGCCTCAGAACTGGTGATACATTATGTAGTAGTGCTTATTTGTTGTAACTTCTGCTTGCATTGACGATCAACAGCAGTTCTAGTGGCTGACTGTTAATGTTGGCATTTCTGAAGATTTGCCGTATGCATTGAGTAAGTGTACACTAATGGCTGCGCCAAGACTAGTCTGCTTCAGTTTTTTCCCCGCAAGGGGTAAAAAGGGGCATTCTATGTGATTTTTAACAATTATGAATGAAGCAGTAATGGGGTAACCCATTTACCGTGATGTTGGAATAGCAATGATGATTAGTTAGTTAGTCTTTCCTCTTGTGTCGAGTGCGGCACATAGGGCAGAGGTCATGACTCTCCATGCATGGCAGTTCGTTGCAATCTGTTGTAGGTCTTGGATGTTTGAGTGGCCCATGAGTGAGCCTTCCCTGATGATAGTTCTACGTAGGGTTTCCTTAGGTCTTCCTCGAGATCTTTTCCCCTGTGGGAAATGATGATAACCAGCTGTAATTCACTAGAGCAGTGTTTTCTAAACTTTTCTTAGTCGCAGCGCCTTTTTTCAATTATAATTTTTTTTACCTAAAATATGACTATTCATAAGTAAGAGTAAAAAAAAATGCATGTGTCTTTGCATAAATCGCAGCGCCCGTGTGGAGAGGTTGTGGCTCCCCGGGGTGCCGTGGTGCACAGTTTGGGAATCACTGCACTAGAGCCAAATTTGTAAAATTATTGATATTGTGGTACAGTCAGTTTCATGCTGGCCACGGTTACTAGTGTAAACTAAAGGGCTCTTGACACATCACCTGCACATCTGGCATATGGTCTTCTTCAGCATTCCCAGCCCTTGAGGCTCATTGCTGCAGATATCACCTGCCTCCATTCCTCTCTCTGGTTGGCCTTCTGTTTCCAAGTGTTTGTAGATCTGTTTTGACATTCTCTACATCGTCTTCTTGGTCTGCCTCCTGGTCTACAACCATTTATCTCCCTTGTGTATACAGTTTGTACCTCTCAATATGCCCCAACCAATTTAAGTCTATTAGCTGTCATGATGCCAATGATCAGTGGTAATTTAAACAGATTAGGAATTTCATTATTTTTTCTCACTCCCCATTCCCCGCTGTCTGCATCTTTGATGGGTCCAAGATTCATTGTAAGACTGTTTTCAAAAAATGTTAATAAGGTTTCATCTCTTCCACAAAAATATGTGTGTGGATAGGTTTACATACTCTCTGCTGTGAACAAGGGCAGTAATTCACTTTTCTTTGTTTCTTCTAGCGTTGGCTGCGGCAGGCCATGCATGAAGTACCGCCCCCTATTGCATTTAACAGTAGCCTTTCAGTAAGCACAGAATATGGTGGATTGTCTCCTGTACATGGTGGGGCTAGTCCGAATCCTGGCACTTGCTTAGGGAGCCCTGGAACATCTTCACCTCTTGGTAAGCTGTTTGTTTCATTAAACAATGTAATGCAGATTTGTTCCTTTCAACTCTAGTGGCAGTGAAGTGTCATACTTAGCACTTGAATTATAGGTACCCACAGGGTCAAAGAAATGAAAGCCCAGTTAAAAAAAGAAATGAAGATTGAATGAACAAACTTTATTTTCAAAGAATTAAGAATTTGACGCTTAGGTCTGTCTCACATTTTGTCCTTTTGGCCTCACTTCTTGCGTACATTATTTCTTTTGTAATTTAAAGTATTGTAATAATAATCATCATCATCAATAACATCTAAGCGTAGATTGCAAAATGCTGCAAGAATTTCGAGGTGGAAACATTAGGAAGTCATGAAGCACAGAAAAAGAACAAATTGAATTGAATTTATGGTGGGTCTTTGCTCAGTTGAAAGATCAAGGGCGGGAGAAGAAGAAGCTTAAAACCTTAAAAAGATACAGTAGAACCTCTATTAATTGGCCCGCAATTATCTGAACTCTGGCCTAAGTTTTTTTTAAACAAACACTGTGATGAGATAAGGAATAATTTACTTTGCCACATCAGATTTTCCTGCAGTTAAGTTAGACATTATACATTTATTTTTTAAAAAGTGAACAATAATTTTATTAGTGGACTACTTTTTCCATAATAAATGTTTAAAACTTTTAGTCACATACATTAAAAACATTTATGAAGTACTGGCCAGAACTAAGAGGTCAGAAATAGAATAAGAGCTGGTTTTGGTATAAAAAGGCTGTTTTCAATGATATGGTTGGGGTAGAAGCTGAGTACTTACAGAACTACCCTTCCGCCGCAAAAGGCCAGACATGGCAGCGTCTGCTATAAAGTTAGTAAAGGCCTCTTTTCCACACCTGTAGGCGTATAGGGCATACAGGGCTATACCTATAATTTTAAAGACCAATCAGCACAGATAGGTGTTGTGGTCAGCATCATGCCGGCCGCCTTTACTTCCCGGACTGTAACCAGTGCCCACTCATAGCAAAGTTGAAGTAAATTGGTGGTCACTAAAGAAAGGACCCTTTCACACCTTTGATACATCAGGCTGATAGTGCTAGAGGTGCCCACTTGAGTCTGGGTCGACCTGGGAGCCAAGGTTCTCTTTTTTTTTTTTTATGTGAAAACACCTGGATGCAGATTTGAAATGTAGACCTTTGGGCCAGCATATAAGCATCTAGCCAATCACCACTGGGACTGCCAGATTTAGTTATACAGTAGTGTTATACCTAGTACTTAACCTGCACTTGTTTGTATCATTTATTTGATGAATATTATTAGTGCATAGCTTCATACATGGAACTTGATCCATTGTTGGGTATAAGACGTTATCTGAAGACAATTATCCAAACCTATCTCACATCCAGCCCTACCAATCACTCGTCTTTTACACAGTCATTGTATCTTTTGTATCAAGCATCAGTTGATTTGGCAGTAAATCTAATATGAAAACTTTGACTGTGTATAGTAAACATATATTTACTATGGTATGTGAGATATGTACATTCTTACATACATGTGTACATTTCTGTGCATGCATTCATGCATGCAGATATGGACACCCATATGTGTACACACACATCTACACGCTTACATAGACATGCGTACACTGTGCATACAGGTATGATTGCCCACTTACCTACATATATGTAAGTGTATACAAATAAGCAGGTATATACACATGCAATTTACCCACTCAGATATATACACATATATGCATAGGATGTATACAAGGCATATATTTTAAACAAGTTACTGGTACAGAAGCTACAGATGCATTGAACCTGTGTACAGGGCATTCATTTCAAGAATATTACTATTATGAGTAGTTAATATATTGTCACTGTACTTTCACTGCAGCATGACCTAGGCATTGCTTCAATTCAGTAATCCTCTTATTACTGACATACTTTTGGGATCCCCTCTCTAGATTTTGTGACCCCACTGAAAAAGCGCAGACTTATGAGGGAGTCGGTGAGTAATGAGCCAAGTAATGGTCTTGCATCATCAGCCAGCTCCAGGGTATTGGCTGACAGCTTCACACCAGACAGTCTCAGCATTACCACAAAGACAAACGGTGTGAAGCAGTTCTTTCCAGCTCACAGGCATAGCACCGATGATGTAAGGAGACATTTTGTATTCTTGAATTATGTGTATAATAGGGTTCGTAGCCGACCAGGAAACCTTAAATTGGCCGTGCAATTGTGGCCTGACCAGGAGTCTTAATTTTGACCTTTAAAAAAGACATTCTGACCTTGAATAGCCTTGAATTTTGACCGCCACAATAAGAACGGGGGATAAGATTTTGAATAGATATCCCTTGCTAAGTTTTACATTTAATTCAGTGGTTATAGTGATCCTTGCAACAAATAGTGAAAGGCCCTAGAACGACAGGAAAGAGCCTGCATGGAACAGAAACTGTGAACTATGCATGTTGAAGTTGGGAAGCTTGACCAGAGGTGGGAGTCAGACAACAGGCATATATTTTTAGGGTTATAGTGGATATTTATGGTCAGATGTTTACTACAACTAGCTAAAAATTTTCTATTCCAGGGTCCAGTTAATATATATATATATATATATATATATATATATATTATTTTTTTTTAAGGTGGGTGTGGGGGAGTTAAACTTCCTCCCTAACAAGCATTCCGTTATAGTCGACTGTTTAGGGATGTCTTACAAAGTTGAAAAGCAGTTGCCTGAGAGGCAAATAACCAGCATTTTGCATACAAGTAAGCTCAATCCATCAAACAGATGTGCACACAAAAATTAAGTTCTGTAACAAGACTACAATCCAGAAGTGGGCGAACAACCAGAACTAGGCCACAACTGAATGAGATGAGGTCAGCAGTTCCCTGTCACTTTTCCTTCCTAGACATACTAGAAATTAATTGATATCCATTTTTATATAGTTGAATTTCCTCCATTGTTATACTCCAAAGGAAAATCCGGTGACTTCTAGGGATAAAACACAGACAATTGTTTTAGCAGGCAAATACACTCACCACTATACCATTAAAACTTGTTTTGTAAAATTTAGTATATTGTAGGTTACTGTGTTGAAAACAAAAAGTAAACAGCTCCCTTCAGGCTGTGGTGCGTGAGGCATATGATGCTTGACTTACACTTTTGTGGGCTAGTTCGTCCTGGTTATGTGATCAGGTCGCCATCAGGCCAGTCGCCTTCTCTTTTCTAGGACATTACCTAGTACCCATTTTAGGCTGGGCCAGCCTGGGAGTCCAGTTCAGTTTTGAAGAAATAATCTGCCTTGATGTGGATTTAAACTTTTAGGACAGTGTTTCCCACTTTTAGAAATGCTTTAAAGGAGCAAAGCTGAAAAAAAAAATGTTGGGAAAGATTTTTTAGTAGGTACATGCTCTTAATTTCATTCTAAACAACATTTTGTTTTCTTTTCTCAACCATGTACTCCTATTCGGACAAACACAGAGGTTGTTACTGCACAAAAATTACCCACACCAGAATGGCTTCAGAGAAGTCCTAAACCTAGCTGATGATAAAATAACTGCTCCAACACACTCTAGCCTGAACAGCTCATCCTCTGGCCATGATGTCAATGGGTTAGATTTGCGCTGCACTGTGGCTGAGCAGAAAGTCAATCTAGCAGCAGTTTCAGATCCCATGCCGGTGACCGTCTCATTTCCCCGTGTCAACGGCGTCTCAGACTCTCTGCCCATTAGCTCAGTGTCACTGCTACAATCGGATTCACAATATGCCCTCAAATTTCGGGGAATTTTTGAGAGGATGGAGGTGGGTAGCAGTGATGAGACTTTTAAAGGCAGTGAAATCCAGCCTACAGCATCTTCTTCCAAAGTGGAGGAGAATGGCATCTGCCTGCCCAAACCGTCCCTTCATGAGTTTGAAGAAGACAACAGAATTGACAGTTCAGCCTCAGCGACCACTGTTGTTGTTGTAAATAGTAGTGTATATACCAGTGTAAATAACTTGATGGACGAGGATGGCGAAGCAGGGTATGTGACTGCCAAATCCATCATGAACGTCGATAGCCCTGCCACTGTTCGTGTAGACCTCAATGCTCATGAAATAGAACCTTCTTTAGATGATGAAAGCAGTGTAGTGGCTTTTAATGATAGGCTTTTTAACAGAAGCACCAGTGAAGTCAGGACATTAGATATTCCCAGTGAGTGTCAGGTGAACAGTTCCGAGGATGTGTTTGGCACTGTGCCCAGTGGGGAACATAAAAGTGATGTCTGTGATAATATTTGTATGGAGTCCACAAGCGCACAAGCTGTTGTTAGAATTCATACCGAGGAGGAGGAGAAGGTTTTTGCGCGTTGTAGTGACATCGATGAGATACAGGACACTGTGGATAGCTCACAACATGTAAATAGTAACCACAGGGATTCTGCAGCAGTATTTAGAGAGGAGAATACAAACAATCATTTAGTTACACAGGACCAGCCAGCCACTTCTGCTAGTGTGCATACATATGCAGAATGTATTAGCTCCAGCGGGCAGATGAGTTCCAGTGTGATTAGGTCTAACACAGAGGAACCCAGTTTTATATGTGATTCTGTGGAAGAGTCTTCAGACAGTGTCAAGTCAGCTGGCATTAGTAGACAGTGCGACACTGCAGCCGGCGAGGTTCGGCTCCATTCAGACTACGATGAAAGCAGTGTTGATGGTGAAGATGTCCGAACTTGTGATTCTATGGGAGGGGATGCTACATCTCTGCAGCTTTCCACGAGGAGATCAACCGATGAGGAGGCAGGTGATGATGCCGTTTCGGAATCACATTTCTCAGAACAACAATTTTTCATCAGTGCTGCCGACAGCAATGTTGACTCGACTAGTTCAGAAACAAACCGAGATGTGTGTCATATATCCATTTACAATTCCTCGGTGAACAGGAAAGCACAGGGAAGTGAAAGTGTTGTGACAGATGGATGTTGTGACAGTAACTATGAGAGATCCCCAGATACTGACGCTGTCTATGACAGCTCAGCTACTGGCGATGAGTCCTCCTTAGAAGGCTTGTGTGTTTCGTCTTCAAATGCCATGGACCTGCACAATGGCAACTCATGGGAAAGCTACAGTAAAGAGACGTTTCCTGCTGAAACTGTACCAGAACGTGCCAGGTCTCACGTGACCCCTGACTATGGTTGTGGAGTGTCTCAAAGTATGTCTGCAGTAGAAAGTTACAGCAATTCTGTACCAGAGCAGCCGGACCACAGTGCAGAAGTAGGTCCATCTTCAGGAACTTCCGCTGAATGTAGCAAAGCATTCACTGCCAATAGCTTGGACATTAGCAATGCCAGCTCTTCTAGGCTTGATCCATTTTGTACCAAGCCTCTGTTTTTGTCAACATCATTGCCCTCATCATCATCTGCCCTAAATCCTGAAGCCGTCTTAAGCTCCACACTCACGAGTCCAACATCTGGACAGCAGACAGTGATACCTTCTGGTGCAGCCGTTTCCCAGACCATCGTGAGCTCTCCACCCAGCTTGTCTATGGCAGAGGCTACTCCTGCAGTGAAAAAGAAGGTAAGCGTGTCAGAACATTCATTAGCTGATGCTAGTGCTGAACAGAGGAGATTAGATGGTGTGACAGAATTATTAATGTGGAGTTTTATGAGAGAGCTAAACTTATTCCAGTTAATTCAAGAGGTCAAAAAAAGGTGCCACCATTGGATATGACAAATATAGGGAAAACTTCAGAACAAGAAAACTAGAAGAGCTTTAAGCTGGAACCCACAGTGATATAGAAATAAAGGCAAGCCAGAACAACAACAAACCACCACCAAGAATTGAACTAGAGAGTGTATATAAAAAATATGGGCAGAACATGGGTGTGGGCTACATTTGGTAGTAGAGGATAGGACAACTTGGTTGAAAGCCTTCACTCAACTAAAAGATAACAGCGCAGAAGAAGAAGGGTGTCAGGCTAATAGCTTTTGTTGCATGCTTATTATCTTTTGTATGGTACTGATATCTTCATTGAAAGTCTGTTCATCATGTTGCACACTGCAAAAAAGCTCTACCGGTGGCCAAGAAATGTCTCATGCTCTGAAGGTCTAAGGTCGGGTGCTTAATTCACAGACCTGTGGAGTTTTCCACAGAGATCCTGAGATTGTCACTGGAGCTATGGAGTTCATGCTTTGTGTGTTGCTGTGATCTCTGGAGAGAGACACAACCATGTGGGATAACCCAGTGCAATGAAGTTGATCAGCTCGACTTTAATTTCAAATTTTTGTTTTGTTTTTAACACCTTACACAGCTTTACTTCTATGTCTCCGTCTTGTGCAGACTTTTTAAAAGACTATTCTACCTAAGTTATGTTGGTGTAGCAGTTAGTGAACTTACTAACATGCTGATCAATTATAGAACAGAATAGGACCCCCCCCCCCCCACCACCCTTTTTCTACCCCAAACAAGCATAGTGTAGGAGGCGATTAATTATGAGTATTTTCTAAGTTGGAGTGCGTCTGCTTGAGAGGCTTGTAGCCAACAGTCTGCATACAGATGAGCCAGGTCTGTAAAACAGGATGTGCAGCCAAAACAACAGTCTTCATACAGATGCGCCAGGTCTGTAAAACAGGATGTGCAGCCAAAACTCAAGTTATGTATCAAGGCCAGAGTCCAGGAGTGGACAAACAACCAGAACTTTCCGCTGGAGCTTACAGCCGGTGGCTGCTAAGAAGAGAAAAAGAATTGTAAAAATTATACTATTTCTTTGGGAATGAATGGTGGCAAAGAAGAGACCAGGTTATGACAGCTTGCTGTGCCATGGCCTGGTAATGTGAAGACCTTAATTTATGCAATTCTGTAGCACTGTCAGCCATGCAAGATACCTGTCTTGATAGCATAGTCTTTTTTTTTTTTTTTTTTTATCAGAGCTGATGATTGTAATCGATCTTGTACACACAGATTAATTGCCTAGAGACAGAATAGATCAGAGGTTAGGGCATCTGCTTTTAGCTTGAGCTAACTTGGTTCATCTCATGATCGAGACTGTTAGAGCTCTTCCAAAACAAATAACTAAATGGTACCATTGAGGGACGCAGAAGAAGAAGACTGGTACCTTCTACTTCTCTTCCCCGAGTTAAGGGATCTGCAACTAACTTTGTTTGTTTAGCCTT